GGAACAGGTCCTGAGCACCAGAGCGATAGAGGCCCAGATATACCACACCAGACAAGACCCAAGGTGTCCGTTGTGCAAAGAGGCACCTTAGACGATCCATAACTGCAGGGTGCAAGATGGTGGCAGGGAAGGCCTACATGGAACGCCATAACCAAGAGTCTGGCATAGTGTACAGAAACATCTGTGCAGAGTATGGGCTGGAAACTCCAAGGTCTAAACTCATCTAAATGAGAAACTCCTCCAAAGGACTTCCAGATCCAGACAGACCAAATGATAATGGCGAACCAACCTGACATTGTGGTGATAGACAGAGGACGATGGTAACATCAGGAAAAAACAGAGCATGAAAATCTTGAGAAATAGCAAGGGCTCAGAGAGAAGTTTGAAAGAGCCTGGATAGTAAAAGTGTCAGTAGCATGGTGATCGGTGCACTCTGGGCAGTGACCCAGATATGTATACATATATAGGACTACTGTATTGTATATGCTGCAACATCGTGGGACAGTGAAATGTTTTCTTTTCTTATCTTAACCAGAACTAAAATATGACAATTATGCCCATTGTATTTTTGATCAAGAATACCTCCTCTTTAATCTTTTGTTCAGAAAAGGTCAAGCATGATTTGTACACATTGACCTATCTAGATCTAGATGTACAGTAATTTAAGATGTAACAAGAAAATAATCCTTTTTTACTAATGGATGGAGCAAGCATTGACAATTGTCCATTATTTGTCACATACATTTTGATACTTCTCTTTTCCCATGCTTTGTTAATACTGCCATCTATTGTGCTTTTGGATTGGATTCCGCACAATAGAGTTATGTGACGACTGAAGTTGACAGAACAGCATTGCACATCTCCCAGAGATAAATGCAACTCTCGGACCCTGTGTGTGTTTGTGTGTGTGTGTGTGTGTGTGTGTATATACTTTGGCAGTCATGTAAATCTCATAAGACTATAAATACCATGTTATATAAGCGAGTTTGTTGTACTGAGCTGACAGCACAAAGCCGTGCCCTGTTCGGTTCTCCATCTCTGAAGTTTCTAATGCCACAAATTGATTTAATCATGTTTATTTTATTGTCAAAGGGAAATGTGTTTTCTGTACTTGCCCAATCCATTAATAATGGTGGATCTCTGTGGTGAGTTTTGTTTAAAGGATACACTAGCCTTTCTCCTTTAGAAGTAATAGTAATGAAGCAATGGCAATATAATTTTAGTATTGTGTTCAATGAAGTGTCCTGTTTTGATGTGAATTGAACCTTTAGACACAAATTTGATGTGAAACAGACAAACAATTGAGCCCTGAAACTGTATCTTGTTTTACAGGACACAGTACAATTGTACATGGCACCTAAATAATTGGATGACAATGGCCTTGATGAAGTTTCAAAATGTGCCAGTTCAATTCACACATTTAAAAACATCTTTAAGACCAATGTCTTCAAAAATAAATGATGATTGTTGAAGCAGTTTCCTACATTGTGTATGCCTGATTTGGTTAATTGGACGAATAAATGCTCAGCCTAAACCCTTTCAGTTGGTAAAATGACAGTAGTTTATACATTTAGGGGACGTTATTTGGAAAATGTTTCCTTCATTTTTATGAAGATAGAAAGCTATAATGGGAGGCCCCCGAATCACCACAGGGGAACATTGAGTACTTTCCATACATTATCTTGTATATTTTTGGCATGTCTTGGTGGTGGTCTAAATTAAAAACATATTAAGTCACATTTTTTGGCTTGAAACTTATCTTTTGCATCTGTGCTGTATTTATATCACTTTCATTTACATGAGTTTGGGTATTTTTTTCAGGTTGATATTCCTGAACAAAATTTGTCATGTTTGTAGGGAATAAGGGATTGTTGTCAGAAGAGCCGTGCAAAATCACTTGCATCAGTTTGCCCCTGCACGGAGAATAATGACATCACACTATAACATAGCCAATGCTGCTAAGGAAAGTGTCTACAGCCCGGCTTAGTCGAACTAAAACTGCTTTATTTATGCTGCTTTTATCTCTCATGCTTTCTTTAAATGTCCATTCAGATAAAGGTCTGGACTTGCTGTGAATATCTCCTCCACCACCGCTGGACTGTATACCATGATATTCTGGGAATCATCAAATTCTGGGAAGAGACCAAAATCAACATTTGTGTTGCTAATGTCCACAAATTGTTTCCAGCTAACCCCAATGCAGTCCTGGTCCAGCAATGAGACATCCTTCCAGTGGGACATTGGAACACTTTGGGAAGCCAAAAATTCCCTCTGGCAATACTGGCAAATGTAGCCTGCACTCAATGTAGATTTTGACATTTAAATAGCTTTCATTGCCAAATAATACAATGTTTTCCCAAAGACATTTCCCATAGGGGAAACCATATTTTTATGCCTTTAATATCCTCTGGACCGGCCTTTAGACAAACCCAAATGCATAGAAATATAATGAACATCTGGAAGGCTTCAGTAGTTTCATAGCATTTTTTTTTCAAATACAAAAATTGTTTATTTTAATATTTTGTCCGTTCTGTAAAAAACAAAAAACAAAAAAACACTCACTTTTGTACAGGGATGTACTTACAGTGCATGGTAAACAGTGTGCTTCTCATTTCGGTGCTTGGACATAGCAGTAATAATTAAGTAATGTGGGAGCGCCTCTGTACACCCAGTCGTTCATCTGGCACCTTGAAGCGATTGCAATGGCACATGGAGAAATCATACATAAAAATGTCATTAAAACAATGGCACAGTTCTTATGTCAGTTTGTGAGAGTCACAGATTTGTCACATTTGATAAAATCAGGATTAAACCAGGCACATCTGACTATATCAAGATTATGTTTGTCAGTATTTTGCACCAAATAGACATTACTAATGTATTGTACCTCAAGGTAGCGTACTTGGCCCTACCTTATTCAGGCCTTTGGAGTGAACTATTCACTTTTTAAAAGTTGTTTTCATTACACTTTTGACTTGGCTCAATGAAGGATTCTCTAGATTTAAATGGTCTGCTAATGACAAATGAGCAATAAATACATCTGTATTTTACTGTATATGTAAAATACAGTTTTATGTATACTCATTACCCTCGGGTGAAATATTCCAATCCTATTATTCCTTGTATATTCTTACTTTCTGAAATGACTTAACAGAAATGAGTTCCCTTTTTACAATTTTCTAATTTGTCTGAAAATGCTTTTTTTCTCAACTGGTTGTACTCAGTGTATGTCTTTCTCTTTGTCTTGTGAGATATATCTGAACTATTGAACCCCTGGAAGAAACTCAACAGCCAGAATTCGAAAAGCACAAACTTGCATTATTTTACATAAGTTGGCTGAAATCGCAGTGGTATTTTTTTTATTTCCACGGCCCATTACTGCAGTCAGCTGTACAGTTATGTAACCAGTGAGACATAAGACAGAGAAGTCAATTGTTCTCCGTATTCTGATCCTGCTAAGCACAAAAGCAAAAGCATTTCTAATGTTCCTCCCACATTTGGTTTTAACCCATTCAGTCCACCTGGCCACGGCATTGATTTCAAAGACAAGGCCACAACATAGTTCAAAGCCCTGTGGAGACGAATCCGGTAATGATTGTAGTTTTTATGATGTGGCCAGTAGCATTTCTATTAATTCTTTCTTTTAATACAGTGTAGGAGCTTTGTGTGAAACCTTTCTAAAATAAACTCTGACAAAGAAATGTTATTGTCATACGGTTAATAATGAAAAAAAAAAACACATGATATTTCTTCATGCTGTATGTGTCCTTCCAACCACGCTTTGCATGTGGTTGCGTCCTGATGAAAACCTGGTTTAGTCCTTTTTCGTGCCAATATGTCAAAAACCATAGTTATTTAATACTAACATGTTTATATTGTTAAGCTGAATCTGTAGAGAAAGTGGTGGTCTAATGAATGTGTAATGTTCTAGTTATCTTTGCTCAAATTACAAATAAGCAAAAGAATTACACCATATTTGTAACCTAAGAGACTAGTAATCATTATGGGCTTGACGCATGGAGGTTGATGTTAATTATTGTCCATTAATTTCCATTCCAACTTAAGCAACAACGACCAAAATTATGTTAATTTTGGTCATTCTTTTTTCATTTTTTTAAGAATTAAAAGGAAAAGCAATTCTACTGTACTTGTTGAACTATATGTATATAGGTCAATAAATACACAAATCAATACATTGTCCCCTAATGTATGTGTTTTATGGCCTAATTTGTCATTCTTTGTAGTTTAGTCTATGCTAACATTTTTATGAATAAAGTTGTGTGCGCTAGTTAATTGGTTTTAGTCAGCAAAAACATGATAAACTTAATATCCATGAAAGCAAAAAATGGTAAATGAGAAAATACATCGTACAAATTAGAAGTATTATAAGGCTGTACTTTTGTTATGTTTGTGAATCTATCAGAGCAGAAACTTGTGATACACGAGTAAACACTGGAAGATGTTTGAAAAATTCCCATGTGTCCAGCCCAAAATATATAGAGGCTGAATTTCAATGGTGAAATATAATGGCCCTTTTAAATGTAATGTTTTAATTTGTGAAAACAAAACAAACAAACGTGGACAAAAAATGCAAAAATAAGTCAAATGTGAAATGTTACTCCTGTTCATATTTGATTCATTAGCATAAAGTGCCAAGTGTCATTTTTATTTATTTTTATGTCCTCATTTCTGAGACAGGTTTGATCAGCGGGGCATGCATTTGAGTGGAAAGTTCCGTTATTGCAGGTTATGTCTGTGGTCAATGCGATATTCAAAGCTACGAGAGAGACCATCGCCATAGTAACCAACAGAAACAAATATTATAATAGATTTGTTATTATATTTATATGTTTTGGATGGTTGAAATTGTCCATGTGTGTGCTTACTCTCCTACCATACCATGAGGATAGAAAAAAAAAAACTATTCTTGAAGATATTCATGTCAGCAGAGGCCAGGCTCTCTCTAGTCGCGAGTGAATGAGTCCTATGCTGTGGTGCTGTTACAGGTCTAGGGGGCGCTGTAGCATGCTGTTGTTATTGTCCTCTGGGTCATCACAGCTCAATGGATTTCTGCTGATGACCAGCTCCAGCCGGTCTCCCGCCTCAGTGATCAGAGGAACAGCGAGGCAACAGTCGAAGTCCCGAGTCCGCACGTGGTTCACCTGTCAACACATTACACTCATTTTTCAAATGAGTTTTTAATGATAATAATAATAATAATGCATCAGTTTGTGATGTTCCCAGAGGCCTCCCATCACAGCACCAGCCAAGCTCAGCCCTGCTTAGCATCTCAGAAAGCTTTGGAAAGCTTGATCTGGACCAAGCTTTCCCGTTCAGGTTTAGTTTATTATTGCTGAGCCTGATAGAGTCAGTGCCAAACTGACAGAACTGAAGTGAGGCCTTTTGTAAACTAAAAATGGAAAAACTCTAAAATCTCCTCATTCTTGTGATATGTTGAGGATTTTTTAAATTTTTTGAGCCACAACTGGAAACACCACAATAAAAAATGTTTTACAGTTATGAAAACAGCAAATTAGTTTGTCTATTGTTTTCAATACCAGACTAATAGTGAACAGTTGGATGGGCTGATCCCTCTGGTCCCTGTAGAATTCAGTCAGACAGAGTCAGGCCTGATCTGTCTGCAGTACCAGTCCTCACCTGTAGAATGCGGTCACATGGTCTCAGGCCTGATCTGCCGGCCGGTCCGTCGTCTCGGATCATATTTACGTAAACTCCCTTCTCCAAAAATCCGTCTGAGACACTGAAGCCGAAGTCGTCGCTCTCCGGATCCTTTATGACCGTCACCTTGCGACAAAGGGGAGATCGGCCATTACATTACAGACAGTACATGTGAAAACTGATGATTAGATGAATAACAAGGAAATGTTCGGTTATATGTGTTGTATTTGTTACTATATAATATCCAATAACCATTTTTTTCTAGTAAATCATTTTCCACATTTTTGTTACGTTTTCAATTTAGTTACTGAAGTTTAAGTGTTTAGGATAATTTTGCCAGTAGTGTTGCCTCTCTTCAACACAACAACGCCACACTTTTTATTTGTCCCTCTCCTCTCCTTATCTCAGAGATGTGTTTCGCAGTCTCCCACAAAAATACGACGTTAGCTAGTAGATATTTCTGAATGTTTTTAAAACATTTGTCTGTTGTGTATAGTGCGCAACTGACTTTGTGCAGCTCAAGGGGTGTGGGCGAGATGATCCCCTGCATCTCCTCTTTGATCCTCCTGGACTCCCAGGTCCTTTCCGACACTCTGAGCGAGGCCTTGGCTTTGGGGTCCTGGAAGTGCAGTGGAGACTGGGCCTCCTGTCGCAGATGGGACCCCTGGTGCAGCATCCCATCCTGGAGGTAGAGCGGGTCAGACAGCAAGCCATCTGCAGAGGAAGGCACAGAAAAGGTCATCTTTATGATATGGAGTCAATATATAATTTGGAGATTCATCTCCAAAAGGAATACCAATGCAGAAAAATCAATACTATCTATACGGCTTCTATACAACATCTAGTCTAAAAATTTTCATTTGGTCTGCTTTTGACTTATTATCGTGCTGAATCCTTGCCTTCATGCAGGTGGGCCTCCTCCAGGAGGTGGGCCTGGTCGTGCAGGTGCAGTAGGGCCCCCTGGTGCAGCAGAGAGTTCCTTCTCAGTGGGCTCAGCCTGCTGTGACTCAGCAGAGGCTCTGGAGGTGCTTTGGACCCGTCCACTCCCAAACTGATGGCTGTGCCAGTCATTATGGAGGCCTGTGTGGGACCAACGTGTTTATGTGAGTAAAACACACCATGCATAGAAGGATAATGGCATGCAAGAACTAATATCATTTTTTTGATCATGTAGTTCTATATCTTAGATTTTGACTGCTCCACCTTTTTTAAATTTTACATGGTATTTTTGACATTGCCTGGAGTTTGAAGGGCAGTATCCAAACATTTTAGATAAAGGGCTAAACAGAAACATATTCAAGCTATCAGTAAAGTTTCTCAGATAATTAAATAAAGCAGAGGTTAGAGAGAGCCACCAGACATGTATCCACGTTTAACAAGACATATTTAAAAAACTTAGATCCTGTAGTAAAATGGTATGTAAATGCACAACTTATCACTGAGAGCAGCAAGAGCATATAACACATGACCATGGAGCTGCATCTCAGTATTACAGGTGTAACCCACATTAAAATGTATAAAAATATAAAAACATATTATCATATCAAATGTGATTCTGCCATTCACTTTGCGCCACACACTCAGCCAATCAGGGCAGAGTCACCAGCAATTAGGAGCCACCTGTGTCTCCCACGTCTGGAGAGTGGGAGACACAGGACGGGCTGCACAGGTTGGGGACACTGTAAATATTAAATACATCTGACCCTTCAGAAACTGAACGTCTCCAGAGCTAAACCCCTTAGATCATCAGTAGAGCAACCTCAAAAGAGCCGGTGCCAGTGGCAACACGGCGTACGTTTACAAATTATCATCTTTTTTGGGTAAGTAGGCCCAAAAAGTATCTCAACAGTTATATTCATTTTTCTTTCTCCATCTGATCAGCGGTTTCTATCTCCGTATCCTTGTGCTTTGAAACAAAAACTCAGTTCTGGTGAACTTCAGTCACTAAGTGTCTTTTTTTAAATGGTCAGTTGTTTTGAATGGTTTTTGAGTGGGGTGTTTTTAATTGACCTCAATCTCTCGAAGCAGCTCTGACTGTCCACATGTCTCCAGGTCCTCCAGCGCCTGGCACCAGAAGCTGTCCTCTGGGTCCACCATGAGCCCATCTGGCTGGTTCAGGAAGCTGTGGACACAACAGGAGATACACTGTCAAATCTACAACTCGAGTACTGTTGCACTGCAGTATGATCTTTTCACCACATGGAATATAAAATAAAGGGGTCTAAACAAACTCCCAACTTCAAACTATGCACTCAGGACCCCAGTGAATTACATTATAATGGATTAAATCAAGTTTATTATCCTATTTGAAATATTTTTTTTGTTTACAAAAGAAAGAGCAGCTTTTGCAAAAGCTCACTCTTTGATGGTAACACCATCACTCTCGTTACACAGCTTGTTACACCGTCATTATTCAAAGTATTGATACTTGTGTAACTTGTGTGTAGTTTTATAACCTTCTTCACCTGACCTATATGTAAGCAACATGCTGAGAGAGATCGCCTTCTCAACAGAGCGCACAATGCACAATATAGTCTGTGCTTGTCCCTGACAGTGGCTCCAGGGAACCACAAGGAGATGGAAGTGGTGAACATGAACTTGATGATGGCCGTGTAGAACTGCACCATCATCTGTGTAGGCAGCTTAGCTTTCCTGAGCTGGAAGTACATCCTCTACTGGTGGTGCCAAGCTGGTCCAACTCCCTCCTGTAAGCAGACTCATTGTTGTCAGAGATAAGTCCAATGAGGGTGGTATCGTCTGTGATCAGCTTCGCAGAGTCATGGCAGTTGTTGGTGTACAGAAAGAAGCGCAGGGGAGAAAGATAACAGCCTCAACCAAAATACTCGGTCACAAGGCAGTCAAAAGGCAATCTTGTTCTGACACGCCAGCCTGTGTCCCTCTCTGTATAAGCAAGAGGCGACCTATGATTTGGGAATGTTGCTAGTGTCAAATAAAGAGCACTTTTACACTGTCAAATATACTACTCTTTATTAGTATTAAGATAATTATTGTTTGGTAATGGATTTCGATTGATCAATTAGTTGTTTAGATCCTGAAAAGTCATTGAATATAGGATTTTTTAAACACATTTAACCAACACAATGCTCCTGAACAACATTGAGATGACTTGGGTTGTTTGATCAAAAATACTTTTTTAAGTAGTTGTAGGAGATGGGAGCGGAGTTTAAACACTTCATTTAGTTCTTCAATTATCTGAGTCAGAAAAAAGTCTTCAAGTTATTGTGGGGTTAAAACACTTCTGAATAATGAACAATTGATCCATTGTATTGAATTGATTAAAACTGTCACACTGTCAAATAAATCACTGTGGCAACTATTATATAAAATAGGGATGGAGTATCTTTTGTCCAGTAATAACGGATTTGTTCATGGCCACAGTTCTTTCCTTGCATCAAAGCCTACGTGGCGCTCATTACTTGTGCCTGATCATGACTAATCTTTAACACGCACAGTGCAATCTGACAGGAAGAATTCATTTGCAGCGTACAGCGGAGTCCTCCTCTGGGCTCTGGCAGCTTACATAACTGCAGCGGTGTGTGTGGTGCGGGCTTAACCCCTCATGGCTCATCACTGACACTGGGGTCTTCACACACAGCTTACGAGCCAAAACACTCGCAAAGTTATCCAGGCGCAGAGCTGCTGACTCACAGTCTGTCCAGATTAACGCTGGAGAGCACACACACACACATGTCCACTTGCAAATGAAAATGTTCTTGTTTCATTTAATCATCGTCATGCAGGCATTGGCTTTTTATATAGAGCGTTGTAACCACAATGATTTGGACAAACACTGGAGATGTCTATGGCCAGAGACAGGCGACTTGAAGTGACTGTATACTGTATGTTCTATAAAGTTATTCCAGTTACATTTCAACTTTTGTTGCCATGAACTTCCTTCCTATTACACATGTAGCTCCAAAGCACTGATTGCTGATGCAAACCACCATCTGGATTTATGTTTTTCCTGTTTGATAATATAATCAAAACCAGCTACACTAGCCACACACCATGTCATATTTTTGCGTTATATTTTAAATTAAGAATACTCTACTAATATCTGGGGACATACACATATACAACCTAAAACGTGCAGATGTAATTTTAATGCATACTTCAGATGATCCCCTTACAGATGCTGTAACAATCTTTCAACCGGCTTTCAACATAATACACCGGCTTTCTGTCTTTTACTCCAGGGAAATATTTGCATGTAGAGTTAATCTTCAAAAATACTTGTATGTGTGTTTTTCCCAACATAAAATCTTCATTAAAATCAGACTGTCTTCATCTTATCAGAAAATGTTTTCTTGTACTACACTAAGAAAGAATACAATTAAATGATTTATTATTTTGATTTCCAATCAACACTAAAAATCATATATAAATATTTTAGGACCCAAGCAGCAAAACATCAATTGTCTTGGTTCCTATGCAGAAAAAACAGCCCAGAAGCATGTTTCCACCCCCATGTTCCATAGCACTATCCTCTCCTCCTCCCTACTTTATCTGTTTAGCATTATTAGGATTTTGACTGTAGTTTGTTCATTGCTATTCACCCGTTGTCCCATTGTCGGTTTCATGGTATGATGCGCGACCTCTGGACCTGGCCTCCTCCATCTACACCTGCGGACTGCCCTGCCTGACCCGCCTGGGAGTGCTTTATTCCTGCACCGGACCTGTTCATGTTCAACGGCCGCTGGTCCACGTTCTGTAGCTGTCCGTCTGTGGGAGCGGATCCCTTTCTCAAACTGTGGTGATGATCCAGGACATTTTAACATTCTACAACATGTATGGACATTTTTTTTATGTTTTTTTGTCTTTTAACTGTTGATTTTCTGATCTGTGTTGGTGATTTCAATGGTTTTGTTAAGTCCTCTGAGATGACTTCTGTTGTGATTTAGCGCTATACAAGAATACATTGTATTGTATTGTAGTAGATATGGTGCTCTTTGGATGCAACAATTGATTCATATGACCCTAGGACATTCTTCAAACCCTCTTCTGGATCATCCAAATGCTCTCTGGCAAACTTCAGACTTCTGGACGAGGGGTGGGCAAAATATATCGTATGCTTTTTCGTATTATCGTCCTTTTAATTTTTTAACACTTTAATACTAATTAGAGAGGGAAAGATCCCCATTCGTCTAATGTGTGCCTAAAAAGCCAATCACTGCCTTATTTGTACATTTTAGTAAATATTGAGCTAGCCTTTTTGGATGTGTTCTTTGTGTTACTTGATTTTGATTTTTAATGTTAATATATGTTAGTGCATGTTTTGCAAAGATATGTGAAGCACTTTACAAATAAATAAGCTTCTATTTTGATCTACACTGGCTATATCTATAGATGCCCTGGCAGAAAAACATTACAGATCATTTTGTGTAAAAATTATGGATTTTAAAGATATCGTGACAATATCGTTATCGGGAGTTGGGTAAAAAATATCGAGATATTTATTTTTGTCCATATCGCCCACCCCTAGTCTGGACATGTTCTGGCTTAAGCAGGGGAACACATAAAGAACACCATCGCATGCCAGTCCAACACCATAGAAAATGTGGGTTAAACGTCTGTGTTACCCAGTGAGAGCTCCAAAACATTACTACTCCAGAAGAGATTTGCATGGAAGAATGTGGAGACTTTTCATTATATTGAGAGGCAACCATCCATTTCCCCTGTTTTGAATCACGGGGCCTACAATATGTGCAGTAACAGTGGGTGACAGTAATACTAAAGTTGTTTTTAATGAAACTAAACAGCACTCTTGTTCCTGACTCCGATGTTCTCATGGGGATTAAACCCAGCAGAAGAGTGCTTAAAGATGATAGTTACATTTGCATGTGTTATGCAATTATGGTGAAAGCACAGCTGTCATTGATTACTGCTTTAATCCAGGTTCAAGCCTTGGATTAACACTGCTCAATCAGGAAGAGCTGGATTTATTTAAACACACACAACTTTATACTCATTTGTTGACCCAGCACTTTCTCACTGGGGCTGACAAGACATGAGTAAAACCAACACTCTGATTGGGTCTTGTAAATACAGTACATAATGATCCTGACAATAACCAGGAAGTACAATCGCATTGTCCTGGTCTCAGGTCTCTGCGCTGGCTCCCTGTGGCTCAGAGAATATCTGCGTGTCTCTCCATGGCCTCGCATGTTAGTGTGACATATTAGAGCCGTACTGTAGTGTGATGTGCGGTGAGGTTGAGGGTTTGTGAGGCGATGACTTAATCATAATCAGATTTACAACTGCAAAATGTTTAATTTCTTAAACAAAACGCAAAAATAGTGTAAAAAGTAAAACATGTTAAAAGCACATTTAATAGTGTTTTATGGTCTTACCTTATAAAAGAAGTACATTCACCATTTCACTTCAGGCCAGTTTAATTTTTAAGTTCAGATAATAGTTGGACTAATATACAGTGCCTTGCGACCTTGAACCTTTCAACATTTCGCCACATTTCAGGCTTCAAACATAAAAATATAACATTTTTATTTTTTGTCAAGAATCAACAAGTGGGACACAATCGTGAAGTGCAACGAAATTTATTGGATAATTTAAACTTTTTTAACAAATAAAAAACTGAAAAGTGGGGCGTGCAATATTATTCGGCCCCCTTAAACTAATACTTTGTAGCGCCACCTTTTGCTGCAATTACAGCTGCAAGTCTCTTGGGGTATGTCTATCAGTTTTGCACATCGAGAGACTGGAATTCTTGTCCATTCTTCCTTGCAAAACAGCTCGAGCTCAGTGAGGTTGGATGGAGAGCGTTTGTGAACAGCAGTCTTCAGCTCTTTCCACAGATTCTCGATTGGATTCAGGTCTGGACTTCGACTTGACCATTCTAACACCTGGATACGTCTATTTGTGAACCATTCCATTGTAGATTTGGCTTTATGTTTTGGATCATTGTCCTGTTGGAAGATAAATCTCCGTCCCAGTCTCAGGTCTTTTGCAGACTCCAACAGGTTTTCTTCCAGAATGGTCCTGTATTTGGCTCCATCCATCTTCCCATCAATTTTAGCCATCTTCCCTGTCCCTGCTGAAGAAAAGCAGGCCCAAACCATGATGCTGCCACCACCATGTTTGACAGTGGGGATGGTGTGTTCAGGGCGATGAGCTGTGTTGCTTTTACGCCAAACATATCATTTTGCATTGTGGCCAAAAAGTTTGATTTTGGTTTCATCTGACCAGAGCACCTTCTTCCACATGTTTGGTGTGTCTCCCAGGTGGCTTGTGGCAAACTTTAAACGAGACTTTTTATGGATATCTTTGAGAAATGGCTTTCTTCTTGCCACTCTTCCATAAAGGCCAGATTTGTGCAGTGCACGACTGATTGTTGTCCTATGGACAGACTCTCCCACCTCAGCTGTAGTTATCTGCAGTTCATCCAGAGTGATCATGGGCCTCTTGGCTGCATCTCTGATCAGTCTTCTCCTTGTTTGAGATGAAAGTTTGGAGGGACGGCCGGGTCTTGGTAGATTTGCAGTGGTCTGATACTCCTTCCATTTCAATATATTTGCTTGCACAGTGCTCCTTGAGATGTTTAAAGCTTGGGAAATCTTTTTGTATCCAAATCCGGCTTTAAACTTCTCCACAACAGTATCTCGGACCTGCCTGGTGTGTTCCTTTGTCTTCATGGTTCTCTCTGCGCTTTAAACAGAACCCTGAGACTATCAAAGAGCAGGTGCATTTATACGGAGACTTGATTACACACAGGTGCATTCTATTTATCATCATCAGTCATTTAGGACAACATTAGATCATTCAAAGATCCTCACTGAACTTCTGGAGTGAGTTTGCTGCACTGAAAGTAAAGGGGCCGAATAATATTGCACGCCCCACTTTTCAGTTTTTTATTTGTTAAAAAAGTTTAATTTATCCAATACATTTTGTTCCACTTCACGATTGTGTCCCACTTGTTGTTGATTCATGACAAAAAATTAAAATGTTTTATCTTTATGTTTGAAGCCTGAAATGTGGCGAAATGTTGAAAGGTTCAAGGGGGCCGAATATAAAATCCTCCATTTGAAAATGAGACGAGTTGAGCAGAACCAACACCCTCTTAGGTGCATCCGATTTGATAAATTCACCTTCTTATCCTTCACCTCCCATCCTTATCATTCCTATCGACATTTTAACAATAACATTTAAGGCACTTAGGTCAAATGTTTGGTTAACATGTTAAAAATATCTAACTTTTATGTTGGCAAAACCTGGAGTCGCCCTAAGCAGAGGAATGTCAAGAAGGGAAGCTTTTCGGTGGAATTGGATACAGCCAAACCCTGGGCTCAGAATTGCCCCCTACCTGTTCTTTAAAGCTGTGGTTTAGCACAAAAAACCTCACACATTTTTAACAAATACACAGTATGTGATACATGTTTTTGAACATTATAACAATGTAAACACTGTGAGCTGAAGCATTCACTCAAGTGAAACTCAACTGGCTCCTGCTGTAATGCGTGCTGCTTCGTCAAATATAAGAAAAATATTAGAACATTTTGCAACTTTGAGCACAAATCACTTTGTAAATATGACCATGTATTATTGTTTCAGTTTTATTTTATTTTATTTCCTTGATTGCATGATTGAGGCAGTGCCTCCCCTGATCGCTATTTAGCTATTTTCTATTTTTTTCTCTGTGCTTTTGTGTCCTTGAAAAATGAGGAAAAAACGATTTTACCCCGGTGCTTTGTCCCAGTCGTCCTCACTGAAACCCCCATCACTGAAAGGGTAGTTCTTCCTTCGTCCAGGAGGGGGAGTGTTGCCTCGACTCTGTTTTGCGCTGCGCCATTCATGAGGGTGGAGTGCGATGCCTGCCCCCTGCTGGTTGTACGCACCTAAGATTCCACACACACACACAAAGAGGGAAAAGATCACACTGAGTGGGTTTACAGTGCACTCGTGAAAACCTCATCTCTTGCCTAGTCCAATTTTATCTGTTCAATTCAATGGCTTGTGCTCAGTAGCGTATGGGACAGCCATGCATAGGGACTGAAAGTTTAGCGGAACTCGCCCATATTTGGGCTATGTCTGGTCCTCCCGGTTCAGCGTGGTGGACAAGCTCCCATGATGCCTTGGGCCAAATGCGGCTCTCATGCATGTTCACAGAGGGACTCGGCCGCACTCTGGCCATCTGATCTGAGCGGAGTTAGAGCGGGTACTAAACAAGCACTCATTTTGTTCATTGTGATGAATAAGCAGTCCCTCGCTGCATGTTTTTCATTGATTTGTATGGTTTTGTCAGTCAAAACCAGGAAACACTGCTTTTAAATGCACTTCAGAAATGTAATGACTTATGCTATTGCAGTTGAGCCTGTGCTAAAATCAAATGCTTAAAGTAAACAAGATGTTGCATGATAACATTTGCCAAAAGCGCACTTGGGCTGTATGTATGATAGCAAATCTATGCAAAACTACTGTTCCAAAGTTTGAGTGCAAAGGCTACGAGGCGCCTTTGAAAGCGCCACAAGGCTCCATATCCTCAGTGGGGCACATGGAGACAGAACTCTAAAATGGTCTGACTGGTTGAATAGAGTCAGTTTTTTTTAAACTTATTTTGTACTCTTACTCTTATTCTTTCTAAATATACTTAATGTATGTCTGTGCATTACACAGTGTGTTGCTGTCTCTGTGCCTGATGAATAATCTGCATGATCTAGATCTTGATCATAAAATGCATACCACTGCATATGTTTTAGACAATAGGACAGACATGATGTGTTTAAAAATTCTCCCTCCTCACTCTGGGTGCTGAAGACCTGGTCCATCCCTGAGCCGTCCCATGAGTCCATCGCAGAGTCCACGCTGGGGACGGTGGTGGAGTCCACACTGGGCACGGCGGTGGAGTACAGCGGGGACAGTTTGTTTGTGTGCTGGCTGTCTGTCAGCTCGTCCTCAGGGTCACTCAGTTCGTTCTCTGTGGTGTCGTCTATGTCCGAGCGGGCGTCCTTTCTCTCCTCCAGGTCTACATGCACACGCACACACAAACACACGCGCACACACACACACACACACAGTACAATTTAGTAAACAAATAACAGCTCTTGGCCATTTATCTAACAGCTCTAAATGAATTAAATATAATACTAGTTTGTATATTTTATATATCAATACTTATCCACAATATGTTTTTTTTACACTCCTACTATTTTCATAATGTAAAAATTATAAATTATGAGGGAAATCAACTAAAAAAAAAAACAATGTCGCTTACAGACAAAAACATTGGGGATCAGCAAAGATCAGAGGGTCAAAATTCCAACCAACTCTCGGGAAAAGCTTGTGGAAGGATAGTCAAACGTAAACTGTATTACTTTCTTTTTTTTACTAGAAAGTAATACAAACAGTTCCAAGATATCTATCTCAATGTTGTTGTATTGTAATAATGGTTAAAAAAAGAAAAACACAAAGTCCCCCCAATAGTGGAAAACTGTTGATTTAACAACAGAAGAAAACATCTGAGAGTCTATTTACACAGTGAATGTATAACTCCTGCAGTAACTGTACAATAACAATGAGAAGAAATATTATTATATATTAAATACTTGTTTTAGCAGAAGAACACAAACCAGCTTCACATTAATCACCAAATTGAGCTTGTAACATTGTTTTCAAGTTGTCTCACAAACTGAGATGTATGTTCAAACTGCTATAACTTTATTGGCTGGTGCTTATGTCGTCATGTGATGGATTCTAACAGCTCGTCTGAACGGGGCAGACTTAGAAATGTATTTTGGTCCCAGAGTCCAGAATGACAGTGGGTCCTTCCTCATCACAGTGTTAGTCATGTGAGGTCACATGAAGATAAAGCAGCTGCCATCAGTGTGTATGACACGACTATTATTACACACTATTACACACCGGGCATCGTGGATCTGGCAACCTGCTGCCATGTATATTTTCCTAACTTAATGTAATAAATAATACATGTTTGTTCTTACAGAATCGTGTACTGTTTAACACTTTAGGCTGAGAGCTTATTGGCTGAGTGAGAGTGGTCCTCTCTTTTACACTGGTCTGTCAAAAGTTACCTAAATATGTGAAGTAAGCAAGTGAAACGTAAAGATAAAGTCAACTGTTTTGAGCTGATCAAGCTGATTAAGTGAGGATGGTCTTTTCCATGTTTCTGATTTAAAAAGTTGATCTAAACAAACAAACAAAGGGCAATAATAAATGAATTACGACCAAACTGTTTTGATAGAGAATATCTTTTTAGATGGGTATATTTTTACATTTTATTACATAGTAAATGTTGGGTAAATTGGCTTCCCCAGCTTTAACCCTATTGGCTTGTTCAAAATCATTGTTAGTGTCCCAGATTCCTCTGGCCTTGCCAACAATCTGCTGCTACTGTACATCTATCTATCTCTGAACAGTCGCCTACAACAGTAAGGGGAAAGTATAGAGGTCACTTTCTTTATGCCCTAAGGGCAATTTCTCCTCTGCATTTGACCCATCGTGCAATGCCTGTAGGGCGTCTGTCAGGAGCAGTGGTCGCCATAGTACAGTGGCCAGGGATTCATCTCCACATGTTTATACTTGGCTTGGTCAGGATTTACCTATTGTACATGTTTTTAGTGGTTGGGGAAACCAGAGCACCTGGAGGAAACCTATGCAAACGCGCGGAGAACATGTTCAAAGAGAGACCCGTTCCAAACCAGGAAGGAAAAAGAGCTGATTGATGTTCACAAAAGAAGACGGAGGCTATAAGAACCAATTCCCTGTGTTTGGAACGTAATTGAGAAAGGACAGTTACCAGGGACAATGGAGGTCAAAGCAAAGTGGATAAGATCTAGAATAATACCAGAAAGAGCAGTCAGTGGGCGAACGTCTATTTGACTTTAAAGTTTTTTAAACTTTTGAAACCACAAAATTAACCGGTATTTACATCCACGTAACCAGTTTCTAGCTTTCTTAAAAAGTAGCCACAGCTAAAAATACAAGTAAAGTTGGTCACACAAATTTATTGGGCAATAAAAAAAGGACACCGTTAATATTGATTTACGTTAAAGCCAAAAAATATTTACATCAGTTTTTTTAGAACAAATTAGAGTACCAGCCCTCACTCAGCCAATCAGCTCTCAGTGTGTAAAAAAAACATTTTGAGTTGGATGTCTAAGACAAAGACAGCATGTTGTGGTGTGATTTGCTCAGAAAATGTTAAAAGAAGGAAAAATTTATCTGTTGGGGCTACAGAAATTTGGGTCCTCCAGCTTTAAAAAATACAAGAGTACAAATATTTTTTTATGAAATAGAGAAGCAGACTTTGAAGTTTGCAATTAAACAAAGAGTGGGCCATCTACCACAGATTGAGAAGCATTCTTGTGGCGCTTACTGTCGAGCTGTTTCTTGATCTTGAGCGTGACCGTCTCTCCGGCCATCTGCAGCAGGTGGATGGCTTCACTGAGAGGTTTTCCCTTCAAACTCACGCTGTTGATGGCCAAGATCCGGTCTCCTACATGGATCGCTCCCGTCCTGCCAAAACACACAATTTCGAAACATGAATGGGAAAGAATATGAAATATATTTACATATTTGAAACATTCACTGCAAAAAGTGATGAAAAACAAGTCAAAAATTGCTCAAAGTTTGACCAATGGGGCAAACCAAATGATCTTGTTCTTTAGAAAGTAAATGGGAAAAAGAAGACTGAATGGCTTGACATTAAGATTTTCACAGAGTACATACAAGATACAACTCATACGAAAGCATACATATAGTGGCCATAGCTGCATGTGAAAACCAGATCCCGTCACATCTCTGAAGCTAAGAAGTGCAGGGCCTGGTTAACACTGTGATGGGAGTAGTGGTCGGAGGGGCTGACCGCTGCTAATCCAGGGGCAGATGTGGCTTTAGAAGTAGTCCACCAACACTGTGTATGGAGTTAATTATTAAAACTACAGTAGCACCTAAATATCCAAACGTACAGGTATGAGCACAAATATCTGTTTGAACACAGCCAAGATATCATTCACACGACGGTGAGTCTGCAGACAATTCTTTATCTGTATTTACTGTCGCACATAAACATTGTTATCGTACGGCCTGACGCGCCAACACTCTCTTATCTCCCTGATAGGCGGCGTATGGAGAATGTCCTCTGGGTCCTCTGACTTGAAATGACACATGCTCTATTTTCAACTGTGTCTAAAGTGGGTCAAGATCGCACACAGGCCTTTAGATCACATGGCCTGCTGCCTACAAGCCTCAGGTATTCGTTTCAAGTCCAAGCCAAAATATTGTATGGGGAGAAGGTGTGAGATGAGCAAAGTGAAAAGCATGTGAGTGATCATCAAATAATAGATTAAAAATATGCATTGTTTGGGTTCATTTTGGCGATTAAACATTGTTATGGCAATATTTACTTTGCCACTGAAATATACATTTCTTGTTGTTGTTGAGGTTGTGAAACAGACAAAATGTTGACACCCGGTAACAAAAGTAATGATTACTCAAACTATATTAAGAATTTCACAAACGTTCTAAATAAGATTTTGCAGGATAAATATTATGCAAAACAATCCATGAGCTATAATCCATGAAACAATATTGTTCCATTATGAAAAACAGATGTTATTAGATACAGCCAAGGTAATGTAAGAAACTTCCGCCCCTTCCGTCTAAAAGCTCTTGCCTCAGTCCTGTATGATAATTGTACCACTATGACGTCACGCTCAGGGCAGTTTTATGTCTTGTAAAAAACAAAATTATGCCCCTAATTTAGTTTTGGCCATTTCTCAAATTACAATCTGTTCTATGCTACAGATAGGAGGGGATGGGAGACCTCTGGGAACACCTGGTGCCACAGTGGGGGTGGCTTCAGCTGTAAAGTGCCAAACTGTGGTCGTGTCCTTCGGCAAGACACTTCACCCATATTGCCTAGAATGAGTCTGGTGTGTGTGTGAATGGGAGATGGTGGTCGGAGGGGCTGATGGCACAGACTGGTTGCCTCGCTTCTGTCAATGTGCCGCAGAGCAGTTGGGGCAACAGTAGTAGTTTATGTATGGAGTGAATGAATAATGACATGTGAAGCGTCTTTGAGTGTCCAAAAAACCAATGCGATATTATTATTATTATTATTATTATTATTATCATAGGGCAAGTTGATTTGCATTGTTTACCCTTAATAATTGTTTCACCGTATTATATTTTCTACTTATTACATTAAATTTAAAAGTTTTTAAAAATGCCACAGAGAACTGAAATTATCATCAAATGGTTGAAAGGTCAACTTCACCTCATCATATTCGAGACAAGGGGATTTCTGCACATATTTTGAGAGGAAGAATTGTTGGATTATTTTGACATTAACTGCTTTGCATGACTTTGGCCGCATGTACTTTTGCACATAGTGAAATGATAAGCAGGGGCAGGGTGATAGAAGGGGGATAGACAGTACCTCTCAGCCAGGCCTCTGCGCGTCAGTCCTGAGATGGTGATGGGGTCGAAGGGCTCCTCTGTCCCGGAGATGGTGATTCCCAGTGGACCTCCGTAACGCTTCAGCTCCACCGTGTAGATGATGGTGCCCGAGGTCTCCTGCTCATCTGGGGAATACACACACACACACGGGTAAGGACATGATAGACCCAATGTGAGTGTAGAGGGCATTGAAATGTTACAGGCTTATTCTACAGATGATCTGTTAGAGTAAGACACACATTTAACCAAGTAAAAAACACATATTGTACATTGTGTGTATATACATTGGTCTTGTATGTACCCTACACTCATGAATGGAGTGGGGTGGACTGACTGAGTGATGACATCATCCATAGCGAATGTGAAAGAAGCTGATTTGAAAACAAGCCAAATTCCTTATTTGTCCGACAGTGTGACCTACAGGGCCTAACATCCGCTCCTCTTATTGTTAAAGTACTCTTTTAAGGCCATCCTGGACATTTTTCAGCTCTGCATTGATGCTAGCTTGGATAGCTTTAATGACCACGCCTTCTGTTATCTCTTTTAGCTCATTAGCAGTGTCGGCCTTTGTGAGTAAATTAGCAGTGTCTTTTGAATCTGCCTACTTACTACTAATTACTCGTAATGATCTTTCTTCATTTAAAACATCTTTTATAAGGAGGTTTACGGATTGTCAGGGCACCAAGAAAGGCTGCCACTGGTCTCCTCACCATATACCAGGCGTCCCTGTGGCCCAGTTGACTTTGACCCCTGGAGAACATGACATTTTTTTTTAAACATCAGGTACTTGTGCCTTTTCTACGCTGGTGAGGGGTGTCGTAACCCTGCTCAGTAGAAATGACAGAAACACACCAAACAACAGTTGCAAATTGAAATCATGTTTCAATGTTGATAACCAAAGTTAATGTTTTAATGAGGTGTGGAAGTCTGTAGTGAGTGCATGCGGTGTATGTGCTGTGAGAGGATGTCTGCAGTGTTGAATGGTGTGTAGAAAATATACCACAAACTAACCGGACCAAAACTAACCAAACCAAACCAGAGCAAAACCAAACCTAAGGAGGCGGGGCAGACAGGTGGCAGGATGGGAGCAGGATGAGCCAACCAGAATGTCTGGCATGCGCAGGAGCTTTAAAGGTGCGGCTTCGTCTGACGCTTACGCACCAATGAGCGCCGCTCCCACATGAGACGAGAGGCTATACGGCATGTTCGAGGCCGTAACAGACGGTACACTCGGGAATAAAACGGTTGGGAACCAGAGTCATAGAGGGCATGAGCTGCTCCTTATGTGTCCCCTTCCTTCTACCAAATACCGTCACACCTTGTCTAGGCTTGCGCAATCTGCTTGAGCTCATACAGCAACCCTCTTCCTCCCCATCACTGCCTCAAAAGCAGAACAATCTCTCTTTGTGTTATCGCCTCACTGCCCCCTGTTGACCCGGGTGGAATTAAATGTCCTCAATACAAGCCATATAAAGCATACATGTTATGCTTTGGGCCATACATCTGCAAAGCACCCAAAGTTATGTCATATATAGAACGGAAAGAATAGAGACTAAACATGAGAAGGGATTCAAACAAATAACCTAAAATGTACTGAAGTATGAGCCTTTTAGGAGGGTTAATTAACATTGGGGACCACACGTGACTAAAGTGTCTTGCCGAGGGACACACCGAGGATCACTCTTTTCTGTCTCAGATTCCTGCAGATGTCTCCTCTACCTCACCTGCGCACACACACCTCTGTATCGGTCTAAAGTAGGTCAAAATCACAATCTCTTTGGATGAGAAAGGCAGTTTCCATGGTAACGGGCAGTGCTGCGGCCATGTGACAGGCTGAGCCAATCATCCGTCAAATTTGGATCCCACACCGCTTACATAATGCACACACACCACTTTATGGGCAATCTCCACTTTCCACCAAAATCACGAGGTGAGCCAAAAAAACAAAAACAAGCAGATTGGCCTGATTGGAGTTGCATGTCAAATTAAATGAAATAAACATTTTTTTTTTTTTTTTTTTTTTTGATATGAAATGAAATGCAAGAATGAAACAAGCAGTTTGATATTTGCATCTGATATACCAAACTCCTTCACTATATGTAATAAATTCAGTTCCTTACTCTCAGAATAGTTTGGTTCTATCTCTAGTTTTCACATACTGTGTATGGATTTTTGGCCTCTGTCACAAAACGTGAACGGTAGAGGACCCTCACTAAGACAATCATCTCTCAGCCCGAAGAGTCAGACAGTGACTCAAAGGGCTCTTTCTCACAAGTTGGCAAAATACCATGTTTCATATGGAGCAGTATGGCGGCAGAGGTGTGTCAAAAAGAGATTTGTGTGTAAAACAGAGCCTGTGCGTAGCTCTTAGGCTTTTGTCCGTTCTTCTCTTCATACAACGTGATTATTTACACACAGATTGTTCTGTTACAGATACAAATGTGAAATTACACACACACAAATCTGTTTACGCACGCACACAGTCCAAGTTACACTTGCGAATCTGCGAAGGCAGGACTGCGTCAAAAGATTTGTGTGTAAAAAAAAAACTTGCGTGTAAAACATACTTTTTTTAATTACACACACACACACACATCTTTTTACGCACACACAAATCTTGATACGTACATACAAATCTGTTTACACATGCACAAATAATTATTTTAATATTATTATTATTTGGGCATACTCCACCCATTCAACTGTGAAAAGGCGAATAGGTTTGGAGCGACAGCTGAAGATGATGGTGGAGAAAGGCACCTGAAATCATCTTGAACACAACAAAAACACAAGATCATGAGAGACTTTAGAGCTCCGGCCAAAACTAGATTAAAGCTGTGAGACTGCTACTGTTTCCCCTCACACTGACACACACACACTCCACAGCAACGTATTATGAGCTCACACTTAAAGCTGCACTAACTGACTTTATTTTCGTATTCATTATGAAAATGCTATCCATGTCCATGTAGTGCATTGGGATATACGTCCTTTTGAAGAAAAAGTAGCGCAGATTTGTGCTGGCGTGACATTATATTTTAGATCGAGTTTTGATGAAACAAGGAAGAGAATGTGTTTCGGGTCGCAGATTGTGACCAATCACAACGGACCACTGACCCCCACTTTCGTGAGAAATCTACAGGTCCGTTAGCATAGACGGCTGAGTTAGCACAACAAGCCGAGGAGCTAACCTGAAGCTTCCTCGTCTTCGTCACCGGTTACTGCTTACACAGCGAGACAGCCATCCAAAAGAAAGTCTCGTTCCTCTGCGCTTCCCGGTTCTATCGTTTTATGGTCACGCCATCCACGTGTAAATCCATATCCATGTATTATCCATATTGGGAGACGCTAGCTCCGTCCCAACAGTGGGTGGGTGTGTGTGGGGGGCGATAGCTTCGTGGGTGCGGGGAGGGGAGCAGAAAGAGCGAGGCCAGCGAGTCCTCGGCTTCAAAATCCCAAAGTCAGTTAGTGCAGCTTTAAGTTTACAACACCTGTGACTGGCGGTGCAGCTCCATGCAGCCCTTGACTGACTGTGTCGTCAGGCCTGATGATTCTTAACAGGGTTATTCCCTCCTTCACAAGTCGAACTGTGGCCAAAAGGGGACACTATAATGTTTTGTTGGAAGTGTCAAGCTGTCCCAGGTCAGCTGTGGCTGACTTTTAGCACCTTTCCTACCTACACAGGGCGACAGTAGCTCAGTTGGTAGAGCATTGGCCTTTGAGCCAGAGGGCCGTGGGTTCGAGCCTGACTTTCACCATCGACTCCCACTGTCTGCTGTCGTTGTGTCTTTGGCAAGACACTTAACCTCTGGGAACACCAGCCACAGTGGGGCGGAATGGTTGGTGGTGGTCGGAGGGGCCGATGGCACATACTAAACCAAAACACATCAACAATCAATATTTCAAATGTTTTTGTTGACAAAATGTAATGAAATATGATTTTCCTGGCATAGTTAGAACTGTCTGTTTCACATGTGTAGTGTGTGTGTGTATAGTGGGATAAACTTCTTCAGCAACATGACTTCTATAATCAAATTCCACAAACTTTTCAATCCTCTTTCAATTTCTTTCTTACCCTTTAAAGACAAAAAAAAAAACTAGATGAATTTAGTGATTTCCAGTGGTATAAGGAACGAGGATGACTATTTGTGAATGGCTAGAAAAGTTTGTGATTAAACACAAACTTACTTACTTACTACTTACTTAAATACAAATATTGGTTAGAATTATACATGTCAAATGCCAGTGTTGCCAGCAAGTTGATGATGTTTCCTAAAAGCCGGAGGACCTCACGGTTTTGTAATAACATGTTATTTTTCCAAACAGAAATGACATGCTGTCTTTAAGTTATTATAAAGCATGTGATCTTAAAATCTTATTTAATAGTTTGGGCCAAGTGATGATTGGGTGAGTGAGGGGGATTCTCTCTTTTTCACTTTTCTGTCAGAAAAAGCTGATGTAAAGATGTTATTTGTGAAAACTAGTGATGGAACCAAACTGTTGAATAACTATTTATATGGAATTTATTAAAGTTACACATTCTTGGTGTTTTTCTCACTGTAACAGCAGGTGATTTTGTGGAGGTGGCTCTGCAGCCAAATGAGTCCTTGAACCTTTCATGAAAATAATTTTGTTTTGGTTTAGATCATATCCATTTGAGGGTTTTTTTTCTCAATAACCAGAAAAAACAATAATTGACACGACCCTACTGTAAACAATAATGCAGTTGAACACTGAATCTCTGAATAATGGAATATAATTCAAAAGTCTATTTACTTCTGTAATTAAACAAGCATTTTTTTTATCAAGCCATGATATATAAATTAACCATATTTTTTATTAACAAATAATGGTTAAACAATAATCAGCCTTTAACCATTCGTTAAAATGTTGATAATTGGCTCAAACCTGTAGTCTATGAATTGCTTTGTCTAGATCTCAGTTGCTAACACTGTTCAAACAGCTTGAACAGAACTCAAGCCATGGCCAACAGTGAAACCCAGTGTACATAAAAAGAACTGCACCATAGTCCTCTTTTCTCCTTGCATAACAGCCCTTCAGGCGACACAATGAAATAAACCTGTGCAAGCATAGCACTGAGCAAGTCCAAATGCATCAAATCAAATGTGGCTTCAAGTCCGCACTCCTGAACCAGAGCATGAAACATAATATGATCCAAAGTTCTGAATAATTGTTGGTGAGAGTGTGAGTTGGGTTGCATTTTCAAGATGTCCAGCTACCAATTGGTTTTAAAAGAATAATAATCTAGACCTTGTTGTCCCTCAATTTTAGAAGCAATATTAGATCACATTGAATTGTCTGTTCTCCAACTGCTTTTACCTTGTGAATACTCTTGCAGCGAGTAACTGACTTTTTACTTTGATTCAGAACATTAGAATAAAATTCAAAAGTCCATTACAATGTGCTATTCTGAGTACTAACACTCTAATACAAGGTATATCAATTTTGAAATTTTTAAGTTAAGTTATGTTTTTATTTATATAACGCCTTTCAGGGACCAGTGTCACGAAGCGCTTTACAATTGTTGTGGGCATTTGTCACACAGAGATGGGAGTGAGGTCACCAGTACAGGAGGCTCATGCGAGACCTGTTGTGCATGTTTTTAGTGGTAGAGGAAAACAGAGCACCTGGAAGAAACCTACACAGCCACAGGGGAACAGGAAAACTCCACCCAGAAAGACCCTGTACCGACCGGGATTCTAACCCAGGACCTTCATGCTTAGAAGTGAGGGTGCTATCCACACAGCCACTTGTAATATTAAAATGTGCAATGGAATCATTCTTTGTTGGGACACTTAAGTGTTGGTTTGATCAGATTTGGACACACCAGAGGTAATGAAACATACCAGAGTTGTCTTCGTCTTTGCGGATCTTGAGTTTGACCAGCTCTTCACACTGCAGCAGGATCTGCTCGGCGTCTTCTCTGGAGCAGTTGTCCAGGCGGATGTTGTCGATGGCCATCAGTTTGTCCCCGGGCTCCAGGGTTCCTGTTCTGCACCAGCCCCCGAGGCCACAGAGTCACACAGAGTCACACACATGAGTCAAGGTGATCAGGATTATTATGGGCAATAGCAAAACAGAGTCAGAAAGAGCCTTAAATAAATCAAGCATATTTAAATGTCTAAAGTTGTGCTTGAATGTTTACACACCCAGGCAGCACTGTCATTGTCTAATAGAATAAAAACTCTGGAGTTATAATAGCAATTGGTTCAAGGATAATAGAGTACACACATAGTCAGCAGGAGGTATTTGCAGATGTTTATATTGTACTTTGGAAACATCCTCTAGTTCCTGTAAATTAAAATTTCAAAGAACAATGTGCAGCTTTACCATCCGAAAAAGTAAAGAAACGAATCCCCAACTCCCGCATAACACACACTATAGAAAACTAGGTTACAGAGACTTCTGATCAGGGTCAGGAGAGGAGTTTCTGTGGTAATTATCATTTCAAAATAGAAAACACAGTCATTGATAAAGAGTGAAAAGTGTTTGCGTTGTCATTCATAATCTCCTAATACGACCATTAAACTTTCAAGCACAACTGTAGACCTAGATCACCAACATACAAACTGAGCTTTATTCTAAGAAATGTTGAGCAGTGAAATTGAATTGCACAGCAACAGAAAGACTGACTTTCGTGAGGTTTATGACCTGATTGAATCTGAAACATGAAAGGGGCCTCAGGGGGTCAGACTTCTGTGGGACAGGGCTGCTACCTGTGTGCCATGCTGCCCTTCTTGATGTCAGAGATGATCAGCGGCTCTCCTTGCTTCTTGCTGGCTGTGAAAGAGCAGACATGCATCAAAACTCCAGGCGATACCGATAAAATCAAAGATGGCACTTGTTGTCCATGTAGTTGACCAACAATTGTGTTGTTGAGTAGCACAACAAGTACCACCAGTGGCACATGCACAACAGTTTGGGAAACTTTGATTGAGTTCATTTGGGTGCCAAAAACAAGATTAGCCACGAATGTAACTACAAACGGCCTGAGAAAGAAATTTCTCAGTTGAAATCAGTAGAAAAGTGATTCTGCCACAAACACAAAACAGAACTAACACGCTCGATTGTTACATTTATTATAAGACTGTAAAAACAGCTGGACTTCTTTTTGAGAGGTCGTTTTTTAAAAGCAGGTGCACTGCATGGCCTCTAGAGGGAGCCATAGTGCCATGAGAGCAGCCCTGTCCCAGGAGTGGGATGTATAATGCATGTACTGGGGTGGTCCACTCTGATTGAGGTCAGGCCTTTGAGGACTTCATAAAACGCACATCTACATATTTCATCTTTATTCCTATTAAGGTGATTAGAATGTAGCGCTGATCATGAATGCAGTTTGAACAGTTATTGGAAAGTGCCTGTTGAAATGATTCATCCAAAACCAAATGGATTCATTATTTGAAAATGACATTATCTTGATTCATGAACATTCTACTTAAGTTTTGAGGAATTGGACACCCAAAGATTCTTCATTTGGCATAATTCACACATTTCTACAGCAGCCACAGCCGCAGCCACAGCCGCAGTCACAGCCACAGCCACAGCCACAGCTGGGGCAGACTGACAGAAGTGAGAAGTATAGCCCTGACAGGGTTAGGCATTCACATGCAGGTGGGGCCATGCAAATTTTGCATTTCTATATATAGTACATTTACTATACACTTACATAAGCTTGCATAATCACTCAACAACCACAAAATAACAAGTTTTAAGACAATATAAACATTAGTGTTCACATTAATGTCCGTGGCCCCACCCCGAGCTCATAGGTGTCCGTCTTACCGCTGATGGTGAGGCCCAGTTCCACCCCTCTCTTCTTTGGGAGTTTGACGTGGAATGTGCCACTGCTTGGGACGACCGACTCTGAGGAAAGAAAGGCAGATTGTAGCAACTCTGACTGAAAGTTCTACTTTGACAATTTTTAAAATGGGAATTATTCTATAAATGCATTTTGATGTTATAAAGGTGAAAGATGATCTCAGAGCTACCTGCTGGGGGAAATGGGCCGAAATCGGGATTTGTTTTTCTCTGCTTTATCTGTCATCGCAGAGACTCTCTGAGCAGAAACGACGCTGACTTCAGACTCACATCCTGAAGCATATCCTGAGGTATCCTGAGGAGTTTCTAGGCCTACTGTTCACTCTCCTCCCTATTTCACATCAATAATAATAATAATAATAATAATACATTTTATTTGTGGGCGCCTTTCAAAATTCCCAAGGTCACCTTACAGGCAGCATAAAAACAATATACAACACACATTAAAATACAAAAGATACAATACAATACGAGGCCCAGAGGTAAAATACAGTAGAGTGGCAAAGAGATAAGAGAAGTCAATAACAATAACTCGGTCTGCCTACTTCCCCCTGCGCAATATCTCTTGTTCCGCCCCTCTCTCACCCCCCACACCACCGCCATCCTCGTCCACAGCCTCGTCACCTCTAGGATTGACCACTGCAACTCACTTCTCTTTGGCCTCCCCAACAAATCCCTCCAGAAACTGCAGCTCCTTCAAAACTCTGCAGATCGCATCATCACTCGGACCCCTACAGCTGACCACATCACCCCCGTTCTACGACAACTTCACATGGCTTCCTGTTAAACAACGCATCAACTTCAAATTAACTCCCGACCACTTTCAAAGCACTTCACCACCTGGCCCCTCCGCACTTATCTGACCTCCTCCACCCTGCCACTCCTGGCCGCACACTCCGCTCCTCCTCCACCCTCACACTCTCCGTCCCCCCAGCCAGACTCATCACCGTGGGACACAGAACCTTCAGCCGTTCTGCCCCCCAGCTCTGGAACTCTCTCCCCCTGACCTCCGTACCATTGACTCTCTTCCACTCTTCAAATCCAGACTCAAAACCCATCTGTTCAGACTGTCCTACCCCACCTAACACGCACGCACCTACCATCCCATAATGCCCTACTGTTTTATTCTGTTGCTCCTGTTTTTTAATGTTTGTATTATGTCCTGTACAGTGTCCTTGGGTGTTTTGAAAGGCGATTTTAAATAAAATGTATTTTTATTATTATAACTGAGAGATAAAACTCCAATCATGGAAGACCTCCCCAGGGTCTGAGCACAGGATACTCAAAGACACATATTATTGGAGGTTTTACCCATCCATGCTAACATAATAGGATTTATCTTTGGAGGTTGTTTCTGCATAATCCTCACAACAAATGCTATGACGTCAATATATGTCACTTTTGGCAAACAGTAATAGAATTATGATATTTACAAATGTGAGTCTACCGTCTAATTAATCCAATTAGGATTAAATGTAAATATAGCAGAATGCAAACAACATTTGGTATTTGTTTATCCATATACATCTTTGTATATTTTGAATTATTTCACAGTACAAGGGGAACTGGGAAAATTTGAATATCTTTCAAGTTTCCATTTACTTCAACAATGTGAAAAATTATAAGATGGACTCGCTAGATTAGATTCAACTTTATTGTCTTTATAGTCTGTGAGTCTGGTTCGCATCTAACCAGAAGATGCTAACCAGTACACACATTGTTGCTATACCAAAATGGGACTATAAGCCGCACATGATTATAAACCGCAGGCTCTACATTTTTGAAAGAAATTGAATTTTACACCCGTACAAACCGAAGTGAGTCACAAACCAGCTGTGATGGCTTTACAAAAACCAAAAAAACTATTTATTAAATGAGACACAAAGATATTATCAGTGAGGACTTTTAAACTGTTTTTAATAAAACCACAAAACAGCAACACAAATAGGGCAGTACACAGATTATTACAGCACTTTACATGTAATGAGTCTGTATTATATTCTGTATTAGTTTCACATGTTTATGTTGAATTACCTAAGTAACATTTTAAACTATATTCTAATTTTCTGATTCTCTCTTCATCTGTAATTATTGTCAATGAAATAAGACATCATCAGAAGATGATGATATGTTTTTCCCAGTCAGAAAAAACACAGTATTCTCAACCAACCTGCAGCTGAATGTAAAACTTTGTAGACAGAGATAATTTATTTTCTTTGCCTGTTCTGTTCAAGCTACAGCTGTGTGCAAGGGATGAGATGAAACATGGCGTCTGTGTTCTGTCCCTCAGTGACAGGAGCCAGAGGTGAAAAAAAACGAGGGCCCCGGAGCTGCAACATTTCGCCATTAAAACATACTATATATAGATATATATATATCTATATATAGATATATATATATATATATATAGATATATATATATATATATATATATAGATATTAAGATTAAGATCAAGAGATCCTTTATTTGTCCCACAGTGGGGAAATTTATTTAGATATGTATAATTATAAAGACTCCCAAATCAAAATTGCAGACGGATTGGATTTACTGGAAATAGAAAAACAAAAATTATTGCAAAAACTCTAAAACGAAACTGCACTTGGCTGGGATCTGTAGGCTGAGGCTGAGGCAAAAACGTGAAGTAGGCAGTGTCTGGACCAAAAAAAAACAATCGTGAAGGATTTACTGACGATCTGGCACATGGGGGGGAAGTTTTTAAATTGTATAGGTTCAATTCAATTTATTCTTGTATAGCCCTAAATCACTACTGTAGTTATCTCAGAGGACTTTAAAAAAACCGTTGAATTCACCAAAACAGATCAGAGAATCAAACAGTTCAAACACAAGAAATGCATTGATAAAATTAACACGTTGTTCCATAAGGGGCAGATTACCAGTTGATAAATGTCCATAAATGCAAGGTACAGCTGATGAGGAGAATGGGCAGCAGGTGTGGAGGGCAGAACCAGGACAACAGACACTCTGCCCAGCTCCAGGGGCACAGATGGGAGAGGGGAAACACACACAAACACGAACCCTGACAATAATATACAGTATTTATTATATGACTTGGATCGTTCGCGCGCTCTGATTGGCTGATGTGCAGTCTGATATTTTTCCATCTCGGACCGTTACGATGACAATTGGTCCGCAGTGCGTATCAGATTTGATATCTTTCCTCGGTAAAAAAGAGATAATGAGCGACAAATGGGAGCAATCTCCAGTGAATTCTATTATCCGGACGAGTTCGAAGAGCCAGACGAAGTAATAACAGCAAATAACGACGAAAACACAACTCCAAACGGCCTGTTATAGAAATATTTTAGTAAAGCACTCTGAATTAACACCTAATAGTTATGAGTGTAAGTTATTAACTAATAGTCAACTCTGGATTCAGATACAGGCCATAATGCTCTGTTGGCAGCAGGTCAGTGATAGATGGAGACGTGCTGCATCATGTCTTTGACCTGGGTCATAGAACAATATGTTCAGTTCAAAGGCAGATTGTTACATATATCAGAGTTGTATCAGCGTTAGGAGGCGTAAAGAGAAGCCTTGAGCAACACATATCAATGTTGACTTCATTTATGTAATATCTAGAGTAGATATGTGTTTGTTTACTCTGGTCTATTTAATGTACAGTCATTTCCTCAATCGGGGCAGTCGATTTCGGACGGCTGCCCGGTGGTATTGGTATCGGTTCTGTTATTCATTGTAATTGTGCGCATTTACTAATGAATAAACTCACACTTTGTTTGGAATTACAGCTCTGGGTTGTTTACATTATTTTACTCTTGTTATGTGCAGAATTTCTACAACAATTTGGCGTCACGAACAGGATAACATTGAAGCTGGTAAAAAGATGCCGTGAGCAGGATTAGGAGTTGGCGTTGGGTCCCTTCTTCTTGCCGAATGAGGGCACCACGTTCACAAAGCGCCTGTTGTACTGGATACGACGCTTGGCACGGCCAGTCTTCTTTTTCTTCTTCTCTTGCTTGTCCACCTTGGGGGTCTGTCCCCTCACTTTCCCAGCACGGGCCAGAGAGCCATGGACTTTACCTCCCAGGAATCTGCCGGCCACCTCCAGAGTACAATGCTCAGAGACGCCGCAGGCAGCAAGGCTACAGTCATCCTCCAGAGGGCAGCCAGCGAGCAGCAGAACCTGGTCATCAGCAGAGAGACCCTCCAAGGTCTGGATATGAGCCTTGATCTGTCCCACAGTCTCCTCTCCAGTCACCTCAAGGGTGTGAGTATTCTGGGCATGAAGGAACAGCTGCATGATGCTCGTTTGATGCTAGTCGTTCAGCGCTTAGCATAAAAAGGCGGCAGTGTATTTGAATGTAAATTGTCACCAAATCCCACAATCAATTTAGTAAATATAATGTTTTAGTCAGACGACCGGAGGCTTCATAACTTTGGAAATATGCATTGCTCGATTGTGATGTAGAAAACAGAGTTTGGTGTGAATGTATCTGAGAGAGAGAGAGAGAGAGAATAGTATGAGAGAGATAAGGACAATAATGACCCTCAGCACACACACAACATTACACATTGTTTCTGTTAGAGCCTAGAGCCGCAGAGTGGGAGGGGCTTGTAGATCTCGGGAACAGAAGTGCGAAAGTGTGTGATTGGCATAAAACAGCTGAAAAGACATTTCCAGCCAAAACATAGAGACGTGGAGAGTTCGACTTCTACGTCACAGAGAGACAGTATCAGACGTCAGAGCGACTGCTCTGAAAATGAGGCGTGTTAAATAACTCTGGCAGAGGCTGGAGTAATCGTACATTTCAGAGGTGTAAACAAAGCCATCTTTGCAATAAACAAAATAAACCAGAAGCAAAATAGGCCCAAATCGTTTATCCATTTTCCTCATGAGGACTCCAAACATGTTTAAAGCCAAGTACTTTTTTTGTAGTGATAGACTTGGCAAATGTATATTTTTGTAATACTAAGGTTTTTATATTTTTCCTTCAATAGGTGCACGAGGCCAAAGGGGGAACCCAGTTTTTTTTGTTTTGTTGTTTTTCCTGTATTTTTGTAAATGCAGCATTATGTGACTTTTGACTGCACTTGTTTTAGTCAGTTTTCATTTTAGCAACAGTCAGTAATGATAAGATTAAGAGATTTTCAGACGTCCCACAGTGGGGACATTTCAGTGTTGCATTAAACACAAGACAGGTGAATAGTAAGTGTAGCACAACTCTATACTTTTGAATGTAAAATAATTTGGCTCGGTATAGGTACAAGGTAAATTATTGTGTACTCTAGTGTAAATAAATGTATACTTGTATTTACACATCTGTAAATCAATCTAGAACACTCTCTAGGTCAAGAATATGGAAATGGTAAGTCTTTAACACTGTGATGATACTACAGTACACGTAATAAAACCAAGAATATTATAAGTCTGTTTGCTACTCAAAGAACATATGAACACATACCACTCGTTACATTCATTTTGTGTATTTTACATACACATACAGCAGCACACACATATATGTATTTACAGACACATGTTTACAGTAAAAGTAAGGGGGACATGGTCGATAAATGAGGATTGTGTTGGGTGGGTCATATATGGGTTTCACATAAAACAGTATTTACCATATGTTTGGATAAGTTTTTAATAGTTTTTAGTTGTTAAATGGTAGAGACCCCACATACACCAGGTGGTTAGTGTAGTTTTATTTTTTTTTTAACTTTAACTTGTTAATATTTTTGTTTAAATTCAAGTGTATAGTATAGCTTTGAGTATTAGGATATTATTCAGTTTGTCAAAGCTCTGTAAGGCTGTGACTCTTGAGGGTGATAAGAGCAGAGGTCTGACACAGACAAAACAAACACCAAGGCCAAAAGTAATAAAGTGTTGAATCTTCTCATTTTGTGGATACACATTTTTCTTTAACATTAAGGTATTTAGAGTATTTTGAATAGATTTAGCAAAGTTTGTTTAGTTAACAATTCAGGTGGTTTTTCCAACACATTAGAAGGTATATGGTAATTTTCCAGAGGGAGTTTGTTTTAAAAAATTAGGGATAATGCCTTGGGGTTCAAATTAACCTTGCAATTAAGACTGCCAGTTTATACTTAATTATAATTGAGAATCATTTCAGAAGACACTAAAATGTCTGGCGGACCACAATTGGCCCACAGGCCTGGTTTTTGAACACCTGCAGGTCTCCATGAGTTTTCATCTTGATACACAATCATCAAAACACTTAAGTTTATTTGATCTTTAGGATATAGGTTGTTGTTTTACCAACATAGAAAGAATTAGTTAGTGAGGCCTGACTTATGTGAGAGACTGCACATGTAGGAGAGCAGACAGCAGCAGAATGCACTTATCTGCTCTCCAAGGCCGGAGAGGAGAGTGTTTTGAAAACTCAAACTGATAACCCATGAGTAAAGTGATATGGAGACCATTATTATTATTATTATATAGACTGAGGCTAAGCCCTGGCAGCGCAGACCCAGAGGACAGGCAGGGGGGGGGGGGGGGGGGCAAATAACCCTTTTGCCAAAACATTGTTTCAGAAACGTGACCAACCCCTCCATGAGGAGGGATCACATCTCCGAGAGGGAGACACGGAGCGCCATCACGCCTTGGCCACGGGGGTCGAGCCAGAGGAGGGGTCTGAGTCCGGCGAATGCCAGGAGGAGCCCTAACCAAAAGTGCCGGGGGCACCCCACCGCGAGGGTCGACGCCCCATCATGGGTCCAGCCCACCGCAGGTGGACCCCAGCTGCCCAGAGCCAAAGGGGACCAACGAGAAGGGTCTGAGGACCTTCTCCAACGCAAGGAGGCAGCGAAGAAGTGGGGGCGGCAGTGCCCGACTTCCAACGCAGAAGTGGAGCCGAAGCAGGAAGGCTTGCTCCCCAACGGCCGAAGGAAGGGACCACCTCGAGGGTCCCCACGACAAAACTTGGTCTGCCTTCTGACCAGGTGTTACACAGACAGAAGCTCTGAGCCATGGGTCAGGTACATTGTTCCCCGTTTTTTTTCACGAAGCGGAGTCAGAGACTGGGACAATCGGCTGGTCTGACCTGGAGGCCGGGACGCCCACCCCAAGGATGGGGGTGGACTGAGAGAGGCTATCTCAGCATTGCGTCAAAACGGGCTTTTGAAACTGTTTTGTGTACGTTTCAGGATTAGCATAACTTAGCATTGGTTTGTGGTACACATACATGCTAGGGTTTTCAAGCATTGACAATCAGGGCACTAACTCTGGTGCTTCCACCCACTCTGACCCCATGTGGAAAGCACAGGAGGTCAGAAAAGTGTGAGGCATCCATGTTTAAGGTTAAGTGTTACAGATCTAATGACAAAGCATTAGACCCAATAGATTGGCTTGGACTTGGAACCATCTTTGGACCAGGTCTATTTTAAATCCACATACTCAGGTTCTACTCTCAGGGAGAGAGAGAGTGCACCCAGCACTGCTGGAGTGTCTACTGTGCGGGCACAGCGTCGATTCTGGGAGAGGTGAGGGTCGGCTGATGACCCATCGGGTCCAGTAACGCCTCGTCTCCCCTGGGCAGACGTCTGTGACCCAGTCAGGTGATTCATCTAAGCAAGTATATAAGTGTGGGTTTTAATATTGTAATAAAGTTAGTTAACTATTGTGTGTGTTTGCTCAAATGTCCAGATTTTGTGTTAATTCATAATCATTGTGATTTCTATTATTATTTTAAGTTGATTAAGATAAACCAAGGTTTTATATTTATCAAGAGATAGGATTGTTATAGAAATATTTTAGTAAAGCACTCTGAATTAACACCTAATAGTTATGAGTGTAAGTTATTAACTAATAGTCAACTCTGGATTCAGATACAGGCCATAATGCTCTGTTGGCAGCAGGTCAGTGATAGATGGAGACGTGCTGCATCATGTCTTTGACCTGGGTCATAGAACCGTATGTTCAGTTCAAAGGCAGATTGTTACATATATCAGAGTTGTATCAGCGTTAGGAGGCGTAAAGAGAAGCCTTGAGCAACACATATCAATGTTGACTTCATTTATGTAATATCTAGAGTAGATATGTGTTTGTTTACTCTGGTCTATTTAATGTACAGTCATTTCCTCAATCGGGGCAGTCGATTTCGGACGGCTGCCCGGTGGTATTGGTATCGGTTCTGTTATTCATTGTAATTGTGCGCATTTACTAATGAATAAACTCACACTTTGTTTGGAATTACAGCTCTGGGTTGTTTACATTATTTTACTCTTGTTATGTGCAGAATTTCTACAACAGGTCAAAAAGAGATTAACAACTTCGTTACAGATCAGAAAGCTAAAAACACAATCAGGCTAACCAAGTCGGACATGAACATACTTCACAAATATCTAAAAAGGTATCTAATTGGTAAAGACACAGAAGAGATTGAGAACTTACAAGCGGGCGACCCCAATCATCTGATAAGTTCTTCATGTCACGATTTGACAGTTTGGTTGCATGTGTTTTTGCTTGTTGAAACTGATCGATATTTGCACAAATTAAAAATAGTCATATAATAAAACATTTATTAAACTCGCTTGCTCGGTTAATAAGCCGTTAATATTTGCTTGATGCACCGGCTCTGAAAGAAGCTCGCTATAGGAACATTGTGTCAGGTCTGTCGTACTCTAGTGTGTGTGATGCAAAAACACCTTAGTGCAAAATGCAAACACAGAAGCCAGGAGAAAATTAATCTACTGAATGTGATATTTTGAAAAGCTGAGACACCAAATAAAATGTACAGGATGTAAAGCTATGTTCTAAGGTCGCAAATACCTTGCAAAGTTTGGCACAATCTTGATGCAAACGATGACAGTCAACATAAAAACAAGACGTATTTGCTGACAAAGGCAAAACATAAAATATTAGGGAGGAAAAAGTCCCAAACCAACATGCTTTGATTTTAATTAAATATAACAAAAAAGTAAAAATGTTAATATTTGTATTAAATAGTAATATGGATGAACATGTGGTTTATAGAGAGATGGTGAAGGAGAATAATAAACCAAGGGTGAGAATTGTAAGTGATTTTGTCTGAAGAGGAACTGTAGAAGTGAGAATGGGCAGGTCCAATTGGAAAGGTCCATTTGTCTTATGTTATGGAACTAAAATGTATCACACACTTTTATACGAATATGTAAAAACACAGTCTGAGGCTTTTGACATGTTTGTTCAAATACTGCTGCCTCACATAGATCTAAACACTTATTTTGTACTTAAAGGAAACGTTTTTGTATTGTGAGTAGATGATGACGATGATGATGAGATTTTTTAGTCATTCATTGAACTAAAAAGCACAACAAAACCACACATTTTGTATCCAGTGTTTTGTGCACTGCGTTCATATATGTGGCAGAGAACACTTTAAAAACACGTTTGTTTGGAAAAACTACCAAACATAATTTATTAGGAAATTGCTGTCTATGGTGGAGACTGGGATTTTTGAAGCAAATAATCCAATGTAGGTTTAAACTGCAAATGGCAAAAAACTCTGAATAATCTCTAAAACATGAATGAATGAAAAGCTGTTATGGAGTTAGGTCAGAGCTTGTAAGAGATAAGATGAGATAAAACTTTATGTCATGTCCCTCACCTGCTACATCAAATTCGATCTCCAGAGCAACTCTGTTAGTGAGCGCAGCATCCCGCAGCAGCTGGTTGGCCTCCTCCAGTGTGCCGTCCTCTGTGGGGATGCCGTTTATGGACAGGAGCCGGTCCCCAACCTGCAGAAGGCCAGACCTGCAGACACAGAGGCACAAGTATGACGTACTCTCATACAAAACAGCCACAGTTTCTAAGAAAGCCTTAGTGGCATCAGGATTGGTAAAATGCACAGGGCAAATTTCACTACGGGGAGAATAAAGTGTACATTTACATTCACATCTGTGCAACAAGTAATACTGTACATAGTCAATTCATGAATCAGCGTTTTTTATGGCAAGGTCCCAATGTCTCACATGTTTTGATCGTGTCTCCATACTGCGCATACTACAATTTATACAAAGTATAAGCACATTTTTTGTAAATGTAATCGAGCTTGAAATAAACAAACTTCTTTTTTTCTGCCAAACAAAACAATGAAACAGATGCATAGGGACTACATGTACTTCATTACAAAGGTATAAAGTTATATTATGACCAATTATGCGTCCGAACTCCGAAAACATAAATTTCTAACATATTATTTCAATACATTTTACAGTAGTAGCTAATGTATGCAAAGTTGGGAGTCCAGGGACTTTTTAAACCCAGGCCTGACATTATTTTTTTTCTATTTTCTAATGTTGTAATTTTTTCAACAGACAATTCATCGAGTACTACACACACCTTTCTATATTTACTGAACCACTCCTTCACTCTTACTGTTTTATTTAAGTACATTTACCTTTTAGTATATTAACTTTTCAACTCTCTACTGTCAGAAAATGCAATTATTGTTTTGAAAAATGTACAGATAATGAGAATGATGGATAATCATTCTCATTATCCAAATCCCCATAAGAAGTCCATGGATTCATGGATGGATTCTTTATATCAGATCACATCAGATGGCCCTGGCTGAGAGGGAGGTGTCACTGGTGCTCTCAGTCACGTCTGCAGATGTGAGCTCAGCCCGTTTCTCTGACCAGCTGCTGTAGACAACAGTCCCTGTCCCTGTGATTGATGCTTAGTCCTGATATCTACAGCTGTGGGCACTCACTCTCATTGTCTCAAAATCCAACTGCGCCAGAAAAAAGTTGCTTCCGCTACCTTTTATGTTCCTTTTTACATATTGAAGGAGAAACAGAAATGATCAACAAAGAGTATGGGGTAAGGTTAGTGTCAATAGATGTGCATGTCTAAAAAAAATGCGTGCATATTTATTGGTATTTGTGCATAATTTTTTTTATGAATTCAGGATTAAGATAATACAAACTTAAAAGGATGGACATGGAATTTCGTAATTAAGAATACAAAAATATAAAACTGTATGTGTGATTTTGTACTTGTGAATACGATTTTTTTTTGTGTGCTTGCATTTTCCTTTTGAGAATACGAATTTCAGCAGTGAGCAAACTGTCAATAATACGTCACTGCTCACAGACATTAACAATCGAGCCTGCGCAGAGTTGATCATGGCAGAGGGCAACAACATTAACAATTTGGCTCAAAATCAGGTAAATAACTATATTTGATCATTTTGGTCGTAAATAAATGTGTATGAAATATTAATTCCATAAAATGTGTTCATAAGATGTTTCTTGTCCCCCTCTAGAAGCGTTTTTTTAGGCAGTGTTTAGTTAACACAAGCTTCAATGCTAGTTTTACAGCTTACCATGTTATTTTAAAACCAACATTTTTACATTCTTAGCATTTACATTTTATGAAGCCTTGGCCCCGAATCAATGTGGTTAATGTGTTGATACCAGCCCCAACCCTCCAGATTATTCATAGTTTGCGCTGTTACTGCCCCTGAGCAATATGAAGAACACCTCTGTGCTGTACTCATCCTTGGTTGTTAGACGTAGCAGACCTCTGGGCCTCAGGATTGATGACTAAAACATTGTCCTGATAGAGTAGAGTGCATACTTTGTTAAATGTAAATTCATCTTCACAACAAAGCAACTTGAACTTTTGCATATTTTGTATTCAAGTATTCATACAACATACATTTTCGGCATTCAAAGCAGTTACTCTACAAGCTCTGCACATCTATAGAGACCAGATGTTTTGCTAAATTTGGATTTTGTTCTGTGCTTTGACAGGGTCTTTCACTGTATTTGACTCCATCCATCTGCCCATTTTTATTTTTACAATATTCCTTGTCCATGCTGAAGAAAAAAACAGCCCACAGCATGATGCTCCCCCCCGCCATATGTAACACTGGGGGTGGTGCACTGAGGCTAATGAACACTGTTAGTTTTGCGCCATATAACATTTAACCTTATCGCAGTGCACCGATGCTGTGGTAAACTGTGCTTCCCTCAGATACTAGTATTTGGATTCACCCTGCTGCTTAAACGGAAGCCACTTATCGACGGGTTAGCATTACACAGAGAGAGGCTAATTAAAGCTGTTAGTGTGTGGGCGCTAATGCAGACACGAGTGGCCTGCAGCTAAAAGGCACCACAGCGTTTGGGACGAGGCATGTTTTATGGATCAATGCATTAGTGCCTTAGCAAAATATTCAAGGACATGTTGATATGCAAAATCCTCTTTTAGGAGTTTTTATCCATGTTACAACCTTGTTCCCTAATCAGAAACAGACCTGAAGTCACTTTAAACTCCATCCACCAAATTATCAGGATATTCTGGAATAAAGCAGTAAACTACACATAATATACAAACTACCTTCTGTAAACATTCTCTCTTTTTAAAGATGTTAAGCTCTGGCAAATCCCCAGAGTATGGCATGCTGTGTAGAGCCATTTAATGCCTTTTAAACTGCAAATATGAGAATTTCTCTGGTTCAATAGTTGCAGAATGCTGATTAGATTGTGCAGGGAGATAATGTAACCCGGAGCATGTCTTTCTCCTTATGTACAGTATATGTTTTCTCGCTATGTTTGAGGACAAAAATGAACATCAATATGTAATATAATTGGCATCAAATTACAGTAAGTAGAATGGTGGTAAATATTATGGATATTTATGGACATTGGTTAAAGCATTATCCCATGGATCAATGACTCTCATGCGTTCTATTTTGCATTCTGAGTTTTCTTGGTTGATTTTCTTATCTGTTGTTGGCAAAATGACCATTCTATGACAACCTTTGAGACAACAGGAGATTTTGGATGACACAAGAATAATTTAATAATTCTGCTGCTAGACTTTTAACAGGTGCCCCTCGTAGGTCCCATATCACTCCTGTTCTGTCTGTTCTTCATTGGCTCCCAGTCAAATTCAGGATTGATTTTAAGATCTTAGTGCTGACCTTCAGAGCCTTAAATGGTCAGGCCCCCCAGTACATCCTGAACCTTTTGAGCCTGTACTCCTCTGGCCGTTCTCTCCGGTCCTCTGGCCAGAACCTGCTTGTGGTCCCCAAAACCCATTATAAGACTCGAGGGGACCGGTCTTTTCAGTCTGTTGCCCCCAGACTGTGGAACGCCCTGCCCCTGTCCCTACGTCTGGTCGACTCTGCGGACTCTTTCAAAAAAGGCTTGAAGACTTATTTATTTAAGAAAGCTTTTAGTTGATTGGGTTCTCACTGATGTCACTTTTAAGTACATAAAATGTGTAATGTGTGTAAGTGTATTTTATATTGTTTGTATTTGCCCACTGTCCTGTACAGCACTTTGTGATTTTTATCTGTGAAAAGCGCTTTATAAATAAACTTTACTTACTTACTTACTTACTTAAATTAAATAAAAAGGAATCATTTTGCTATTTGTGTTTTATGAGACTTGTTAATACTGTACTAAGAACCACCATCAACATTTTACTGCATAAAGATGTAGCTGTGACTTACCATGGGTTACTAAAGAAAAATAAACAAAAAACGTAAAAAGGTACACTTAATTTATCCCATTTGTTATGCAAGACACCTACACAGACATGGGGAGAACATGCAAACTCGACTCATAAAGACCCTGTTCCAACTGGGATACAAACTTAGGACCTTCTTGCAGAGAAGCGAGTGTGCATTTCCCTGAATATTATAAATGTTTTTTTTATAGCTTATCATTTAACAATCATTCAACGTTTACTTTTGAATGTGGTGGAAACCACCAAGATGTTGCTGCAGTACAACAGTGTTCATGGTTTTGCACTGGTCCAGACCAGAGCGGAGAGGATTCATGGTCCGAACCAGGTGCATCAGCCGAAAATCCACTGGAGCAATGCAAACTTTTTTTTTAAAATGCTAATGAAGCATTCAGCATTCTACTTTGGACTAGAGCCAAGAAAATGGTCCGAACCCAGCGGCTACTCCACCTCTGCTGCTGTGAAGTGCTGTTGCTTATTATTACTATTGTTAGCTTTTAATAATCGATTTATTTGTTTGTGTGGATGGATGTGTTTTTGCTGCAACTGGACACCTGGATTTCTCCTACAGGGATCAATAAAGTATTTATACTTCTATCTATCTATCTGTTTAGAGCATTTTTTCATAAATGATCTGTTTTCAAATTTCTGTTTAGATTGTGATTTAAAGCTGGGTCACTCTTTCATCAATAAGCCCAAGTCCCAACAGAAAGTGTCTGGTAAAAGAACAAATCAGATCACAACACGCTGTCTCTTTCCTATTAGGGATCTTTTTTAAAACAAGATAATTGTGCTTGGCAAAATTATTTGTGATCGCTTTGTGTAGTGAAGCCCAGTCTTACCGTTCTGCAGAGCTGTCTGGTTCTATAAAGCGGATGAGAGGAGGGGCTGACAGGGTCTCGGTGGCGAAGATCCCCCCTTGCAGTTGTACCCCAAACCCATTAAGAGGGTCTCCGGTCAGAACCACCTCGCTGGTCTCCACATGGACCACCTGACCCCCTGGACCCACCGAGCTGGATGAAAGGGAGACTGAGGGGACAAGGCACCAGGCTTATTGAGAGAAAGAGAGCATACAGTAGCATCCAAAGAGACGGTTTGGGCCGCTCCATTTTTTTAAAACAGACATTGGAGAAATTACAACATATATGTTTTAAAGTAAGATTCTGTGGCATACATCATACAAATTTAAGGGTGGGTTACTTTTGAACAAACACAAAACATTTCAGAAACACTCTGTAGAGTCTAAATGTAACAAGCTGTTTTCAGTAATGAAAAATACAATGTTAGTATTTGTATTAGTCTTAACACTAAAGTAACTTGTGTAAAGATTTTGCAAAATGCAATTAACAGGACAGTTCCACCTAAGCCACGACAATATGTATATACTGTATAACAGTAATGATGTCATTGATCACTGCTGCAATATTTGTCATGTATACAAGTTATGTGAACTCTGTTACTCATACTTGTTGATATAATTACTTTGAATTTGATATTATTATTCAATAAATGTACTAATGTTGTTGTAAAAACGTTTTAAAAACCATTAAAAAAAAAAAAAAAAAAAATAGATTAAAACAATTCATAGAATGTCCATCCATCCATCCATTTTCTTCCGCTTGATCTGTTGCCGGGTCGCGGGAGCAGCAGTCTAAGCAGAGACACACAGACTTCCCTATCCACACACACTTCCTCCAGCTCGTCCGGGGGGACCCCAAGGCGTTCCCAGGCCAGCTGAGAGACGTATATTCTCTCCAGCGTGTCCTGAGTCTGCACCGGGGTCTCCTCCCGGTTCTAAGATTCTAAGAACAGATTCTTAGAATCTTGTCTAAGAATCTGTTCTTAACAAGCATGTATTTGTAATAAAAAAAACACATTTTAATTTCAAAAGAGACATAATAGGAATAAGGAATCATTTGTTGTCTATTTTTGTCATAAATCTCTGCATGTTTTATTTTCTGGATAATTGTGTGAATTAAAATTGCGACATGGGTTTAATTATGATGAATCATTGGACTTCTGAAGCAGAAAATGCACATACGTGAGCTCTTGTGCTCCTTCTTCCGCTGGCGTCTCTTGAGCAATGAATTGCGAGGGCTCATAGGCGTGGTCGTCCTGGGCAGAGTGCTGGAGCTGTGGCTGCCTGGGCCCGAGGAGGACGTGGTGGTGGTGGAACTGGACGAGAAGTTTGCTGAGACCAGGGCTAAACACAAGGATGACATCTAAGGACATTTTTCAGTGGAACGAAGCACAGACAAAAAACTAGAATGGAAAAGCACTGTATTCAGTAACCCACACATGTTTGGGCTTTAAAAAGCTGGTTTAGTGCTATTAGATTCTTAGATGTATATGTTTTGTATTGTCTTTGTAAATCCAGATATGAGCTTGCCTTAACAACCATCATAGCAACACGTCTGCCTCTGAAATAGCGCAAAGCTAACGCCATAAGATTTTGTTTTTATTTTATGTATTCATTAAAGGGACAGTGCATATTAATATACATTATACATGTAAATATGCCAGAATTAGCCTATTTGCCAGAATTAGCTATTTTCCATCTGTAGTCCCTGGACAGTTGTTATGTGTCCTTCTAATCAGCTGGCAGACAATCAGACCCACTCTATGAGAGAAGTAGCACTTGGTCAGTCCAGTCTATGAGACATAACAAGATGGCGCCTGGTACGGTTGCCACGGCTCTTTGGTGCTCTCTGTTTCCTTTGGTTTTTACTTTTTAACTGTGTATCTGGCTGTTCCTACACACGTGAGGAACTTGTGAACATCCGACCCACCGTTCCCATGGACCTACTGCCTGTTTTCTTGGCATCTGCGGCAGATTTAATTCATGTTTTAGCCAAAAAAGTGAGAGCCTGTAAAAGGGGAAAGCACTGAGGCCTGCTTGTGCGTCTGAGGAGAAGAGGAGCGCGCACGGCTCTCCAACATTCGCTCTGTGGGCAATAAGATGGACGAACTCAGTCTGCTGATAAGAAGAAACAAGGACTTTGCCTCATCTTGTGTCCTCTGCTTCACTGAGACCTGGCTAAATGAACGGATCCCGGAGTGCGCTCTGGAGCTACAGGGCTTTGAGTTGTTTAGCGCGGACCGCCATTGTGCGCTCTCAGGGAAGAGAGCCACTCCATGATCCAGGATCCATCTGATCCCTGCTCACAGATAGAGACTGAAGCTCTCGACACATGTAGTGAGGAGCTTCAAAGTGTGGTCTGATGAAGCTGTGGAAGAAGAATGGAATCTGCAGACTGGGACATTTTCAGAGCTGCAACAGACAGTTTGGATGACTACACGGACACTGTGATGTCATACATTCACTTCTGCGAGGATAGCATTATTCCAACAAGGACCAGGGTCATCTATAATCAGAATCAGAATAATTTTTATTGCCACGTAAGTAACGGGAAGTCACAGACTTGGAAATTGCTTTGGCTCAGTGCAACAGTCAAAAAGAGATAATAAAAAAATAAAGAATAAAAAACACTTCTAAGGAATAAATTAAAATTTAAAATAGGGTTACAGAAACTATTTACAATACACAAGTGCACATGGTGCACACAATGTAGGGTGACAGCAGTACAGTGAAGTAAAGTAACGTATGATGGGCAGTAAAGTGACTTTATAAAGGGCGGGGAGACAAGTTAAGAAGTGTTCAAGAGTCCAACAGCAGAGGGGAAGAAACTGTTCTTGTGGCGGGAGGTTGTAGTCTTGATGGACCGCAGCCTCCTGCCTGAGGGGAGTGGTTGGAATAGTCCATGTGCAGGGTGAGAGGGGTCGGCTGTGATACGACCAGCCCGGCCTCGAGCTCGGGCGACGTATAGGTCCTGCAGCGATGGAAGGCTGCGGCCGATCAATTCCTCTGCAGAGCGCACAATGCGCTGTAGTCTCTGTTTATCCCTGACTGTGGCTCCAGCGAACCACACGGTGACGGAAGAGGTGAGGATGGACTCGATGATGGCCGTGTAGAACTGCACCAACATCTGTGCAGGCAGTTTGGCTTTCCTGAGCTGCCGCAGGAAGTACATCCTCTGCTGGGCCTTCTTGATGAGGGAGCTGATGGTCGGCTCCCACCCGAGGTTCTGGGTGATGGTGGTGCCCAGGAAACGGAAGGACTCCACAGAAGTGATGGGGGAGTCCATCATGGAGGGTGGGGGCGGGGGGACAGTGCTCTTCCTGAAGTCCACAATCATCTCCACTGTCTTCTGGGCGTTCAGCTCCAGGTTGTTACCACTGCACCAGGACACCAGCCGGTCCACCTCCCTCCTGTAGGCAAACTCATCGTTGTTGGAGATGAGTCCAATGAGGGTGGTGTCATCCGCGAACTAAATCAGCTTCAAGGAGTCGTGGCTGGAGGAGCAGTGGTTGGTGTACAGGGAGAAGAGCAGGGGAGAAAGAACACAGCCCTGTGGGGCTCCTGTATTTATAATCCGAGAGTCTGAGACATTCTTCCCCAGACGCACTCGCTGCTTCCTGTCTGTCAGGAAGTCAGTAATCCACCTGCAGGTGGAATCGGGCACGTTGACCTGGGAGAGCTTGTCCTGGAGCAGGGATGGCAGGATTGTGTTGAAGGCAGAGCTGAAGTCCACGAACAGGACCCTGGCGTAGACTCGCTGGAGCCACAGTTAGAGACAAACAGAGACTACAGTGCATCGTGCGCTCTGCAGAGAAGGTGATCGGCCGCAGCCTCCCATCGCTACAGGACCTATACTTCGCCCGAGCTCGAGGCCGGGCTGGTCGTATCACAGCCGACCCCTCTCACCCTGCACATGGACTATTCCAACCACTCCCTTCAGGCAGGAGGCTGCGGTCCATCAGGACTAGAACCTCACGCCACAAGAACAGTTTCTTCCCCTCTGCTGTTGGACTCTTGAACACTTCTTAACCTGTCCCCCCGCCCTCTAGAAGTCCCCTCACTGCCCTTTATAAAGTCACTTTACTACCCTTTATAATGTCACTTTACTGCCCATCATACGTCACTTTACTTCACTGTACTGCTGTCACCTCACATTGTGTGCACCATGTGCTCTTGTGTGTAACTGTATTTTAAATTTAAATGTATTCCTTAGAAGTGCTTTTTATTTTATTTGTTATTATGCCTCTCTACCTTTACCTCTCTTTCTGACTGTTGCACTGAGCCAAAGCAATTTCCAAGTCTGTGACTTTCTGTTACTTATGTGGCAATAAAAAATGATTCTGATTCTGATCTGATGAGTAGCAGAACTGTCGTAACAACACCATTAGCAGTATACATCAGCAGCCACAATGTAAGTCGCACCAGAAGAAGCAGTAGCAGCAGTAGTAGCATCAGTAGCACTCACACTTGCAGTAGTCAATGGCGTTGATGGTGTTGTTGTTGGAGGTGGTCCATGTCTTGGTGAGGGTGGAGCTGTGGTTCAGCAGGGGGCCGGAGTTCTGTGGGTGGCAATAGTTCACGCAGGGGTCCCACGAGTGAGGGTGGTCCGACTTATGCACCTTCACTGCAAAACACATACACACGAATAATGCACAGATATCTGTTAGTAAAGCCCATAAGATTTAGCATTAGCATTAGCCTCTAGCATTACAGTTTATGGTTAGCATAGACAGGACAAGAGGAGCCGGAAGAGCTCAAGGGAAGGTAAAGATGCTTAAATGCCTACATTTTCCAGAATATTTGTGGATCCGCATTGTTTGTTGCAATTCAACTAAGATAAAGCACTGGACAAAACTGAACGGCTGAGCAAAACTTCATTATTGAGAAAGAATTGGCATTAAAATTATGTATAACATATAGGAGCACATATTAAGTGCTCCCATATGTGCTCGAGTCATATAATGATTTGTATTTATTTTTTTAAGTTCAGTAACTGTCCCTAACACTGAACATTTTCTTAAACTTAAACAAACTGAGACTTCACTAGTGCAAAGTGTTAATGATATTTAGCACAAGCTCCATCCCAGTTTTTAGAAAATGCACTTAATCGCATCCTTTAATATCACATGCTCCAGCTGCACCTGTGTCGTGCTGCTTGTTGCTGAGCCTGGTCTGGTGCGAGGGTAGGATCTCCAGCTTGACCAGCTCCGTGGTGCTGGCTAAGAGCTGTGTGGCCTCCAGGACCGAGCAGTGTTCAGTGGACGTGCCGTCGATGGAAAGGAGGTGGTCCCCAGGGTGAAGGGCCCCACACCTGATGAGAGCGTATAGTATTTGTGTTATTTCGGCCCTTTGGAAATATCATTTGTTTTTCTCTAAACAATGAAAACCAAATTCAGTTATTATGAATATGTACTTCCCATATACATAACATTATGTGGACAATCCAGGTATTCAAGAAATTAGATTTTGGATAGAAGTGTATTCTGGTTTTGGCTCTGAAATTGTACAGGTTGATTTAACATACAAACTCCACTCAGAAAGGCCCTGTTCCGACCGGGTTTACTGACACCGATTGACACCAATAGATGTCAGAAAACTATGTAAACAGAGAAAATAAGTGTTGTCTGTTTTATTACATATAATCTATATAAATTAAACTAAGATGTAAAAATGTTGCAGCATCGCCTCCCCAGACTTCCTCTGTCTACCTCTGTCTGGGCTCCGTCTTGTCAATCAGGCCCTAGGCACGTGCCTAGTTTGTCTGATGGGTTAATCCGGGTCTGGCTGGGGTACCTAACTTCCAAACCACAGAAAATGTGGTAAGTTTAATGGATTTATGCACTGAAATCATTTATTCTAATTTTTCACTCTCATAACAGTAAGTAAGTAGTAGTAGTAGTAAGTAATCTTTATTTATAATGTATACCGGCTTTCACAGACCAGAGTCACAAAGCGTCTCTCGCTGCACACAGCGATGGGAGCGGGGTCGCCAGTACAGGAGGCGCATGCCAGACCTATTGTACATGTTTTTAGTGGTAGGGGAAACTGGAGTACCCGGAGGAAACCAACGCAGACACGGGGAGAACATGCAAACTCCACTCAGAATCCGACCAGGATTCGAACCCAGGAACTTCTTGCGGAGAAGCAAGAGTGCTAACCACTCAGCCACCGTGCCGCCAAAGCATGGTGAGGCTTCTTCCTTTTTGAATTTTCAAACTTTTCTGTCACATACATTTTCAGACGGAAAAGTGAGGACGAGAAGACCGCCCTCGCTCAGCCAATCTGCTCTGAGCCCAAAGAGTAAAATAGTGACTCAGAGGGCTATTTCTTAAATTTATGCTAAAGATGATATGTTTTCCGGTAAGACGAAGGCAGCATGTTTTAGTTGGGACACTCACTCTTTCTGTTGGGACAAAAACAATTTATTATTTATGGAAAAGAGAAGGTACCTCAGCTATAGTCAAAATAGTTCACGCTTGAAGAATTATAGATGGATATTCATTTGAATAGGATTTCTTTCCATTTCATTCTTTGATGATCTCTTGGTCTGCAGTAATCTCATTAAGGCATATTGAGATGTTTTCATATCCAACAAAAGCTTCACCTAATGTCATTATAAAAGCAGCACATTATATTGAATATGGGAATACAGACGTTATGCAAATGGTGATACTGCTGCTAATGGTGCTTTGTGGAACGCTGCAGTGCAATATATAAATGAGACTTTTATATCACAGCGATGCCAAACGGTTTGGCGATATGGGAGGCCATTTCAAGAAAAGCTAAAAGGCTTCTCCGACAATAGAATATAAAAAATAGTTCACCTGTCCACCACACTTCCTGCCTTGACCCGGTCGATGATGATGACTTGCTTATTTCTGTGCGTTGTGGAGGTTAGTGTGATCCCCAACATGGCGCCCGGCGACTTGGCAATTTCCACCAGCAATGGACCGGACGCATTCGTCACTGTGTCTATAAAACATAATCAAGGAAATCATACTTTTCAATTGTTTGTTTCATGTTTCATAAAGGGAATGTTGGTCACCTCTGCAAGACACTCTCTCTGCTCTGGAGAGAAGTTTCGGTGGCATACTTATCCACCCTCTTGCTGCTGCTGTCAGACTGTACAATGAGAGCTGCAGAGTCTATACATTCACCTGTTCTGAAAATCCACTAGTCACTTTACCTGCTGCTATTCTTACCTTTGTTTATTTTGGTCATATTCGCTGCTGCACTGTACAGTGTAAACATCTGTAAACACCTCATGACTGCTGCCAACAGTCTAGGCTACATCAGTCTGTGCAACCTGAGTTTTTTTCTCCTGTTATTCTGCCATAATGTAAAGTGCACAACGATGGCATTGAAAATTCCCCACTGAAGGACAAAAAAAGGTTTATCTTATCTTAATTTCTAAAACACGGTAAGAGAAAGAGTGGATTTGCATTTGAATGAATCTTGACATTAGGTTGCAGTCTGAACCACTGGAGAACCAGACTGATCACTGGGGAGCAGTGAGAGGGAGGTACAATTAAAATAAAAGTATGTCAGGGGACTTTAGTGTGTGACTGTAAATTTAGCACCTCATTCATCCGAGCCACACATTATGAGCAATAGGTTGAATGTTATCAGATTTTTTTGGAAAAGCCACTGCTTTGTCATTTAAACTGTGTTTTATAATATTATACAGAGTCTGCGGCTCCGGAGCAACTCTGAAAGTCTTTGGCTGATCGCTGATCCGTGGCTCTAAAAAGGTTGGAGATAGCTGACATTGAAAACTAGACTAGCACAGACTACCAAATGTCCAGGTTTCCTTTTGGCGTCACTATATTTCAAAGTTAATGTGAATGATAATTAATGTTTTATCAAACAGTGAACAATGAAGGATAAGACAACTTCTCTTATTCTGAACATGCAGCATTGTATAACTGTCTGAAAAAAAATATCAAACATATACTGATATGATATTGATACAGGCGCCCATGATCTCAATATCATATTTTTTTATATTTTGTATCGGAGTTTGGCATAGCTCGATCTCACAAACTAAACATTGACAAGTGTGTCAGAATTGAAGACCAAACTAAAGAATTGTTTGAGAGAAGCACAATATGTAACTATTCAACACATTTTTTGAAGTTTGAGTGGACATTTCAGTGTTTCAGTTTTGATTCTGGAGGCCCATGCCATGTCTGAGGCTGAGAATGTGTCTTTAAAGGCCCAGATATGCAGGCCGGGTGTCTGTCTCTGAGGTGCAATGTGGGTTGTGTAAATGAAGGCGTTTAGTCAAAACTGAGCCACAGGCTGCAGATAAGTGCCAGCGCTTAAAAAACACCGGAAGGACTTTGGCAGGAACTGGAGTTTCACTTCTGCTCCGAGCTTTACACAAATTTCAATATATTTTTGCAAGCTTTTAACCTGTGTTTCTGCTTGTTTCATTATCCAGAAGAAACAGACAGTTTTGGGGAGAAATCTGTGACAATTTTCTTGACAAACTACACTGTTTGACCTCCGGGAACAAAGTACACTAGAACAAACACAAACACAAAATACTAGACAATGTGATAAAATCCTTGTAAGTAGCTCCTCACGTTCCACAGTTGCATTCTATCACTAGTTTTCACATGCATGTATTTTTTAGGCTTCTGTCACATTTTCAGAGCAGTCTTTTTAGTCAGCCTTACTCAGCCATTCTGCCTTTAGCCCAAATCATCAAATAGTGACTCAGAGGGCTCTATAAGTATGTGATTTTGCTTCTTTATTTAAGAAATGTTGGGTCTACTATGTAAACCCATTATTTTTTCTAGAGATAGAACTTGGGATGTGCTGCGAAGACCTAGTTCTACATTTTGAGTCTAAGTATTCCACACATTTTCAAAATTCGCTTTTGAACATACTGTAAACGAAAAAGTATTCCGGTATATTTTTAAGATGTATGCATCACAATCTATTGTAGTCTAGAAGGTCAACATATTGCTTTATTTTTGGCTCATTCCCACTGCATGGAAAAAAATACATATTTTTTAAAGGTATATAATAGGATTTTCTTTTTTTGGGTAGATAATCCAGACTATTGGTTTGCCTAATTGTCAATCATTCTGGTGACACACTTTTTGGAGCGATCTATTTCAAATCACAGTTATCTACGTCTATTGTCTGATAGAGGGAAAACTGCAAATTGTCCTAGAAAGTGAGTTTGTGTGAGCGATCCCCGACAGTGATGCACATGTTGTAGGCATGTGCATTTTTTCTAAAAGTGAGGAGGGAGCTCTTTCCTAAAATACTGGAAAATCCTCCTATATACCCATCGTGCGACGTTCCTGTCTTCCCTGTGGTCAAAAGCTGACGCGGGTTCAATCAAACTTTCCAACTGTTGTCTCCCTTCAATACGCTATTTAAACTGTTGTCTTTAGATTTGATTCCATCGTAGAACAATGAATACATGATAAATAAACAATGTATGGACTTCCTGTTAATTCATCTGATTTAATGTTGATATATTTTTATTCTCTTGAAGTGAGTTTTACTTCCTGTCTGTCTTGTTGATTGTTTGCCCCTCCCTGATGCTTACTTTTTTAATCACAAGCAAGCACTTGACGGATGTAAAACTACCATCAATATTTTCCCTTTTACTGTATTTCTGTAGTATCCCATGCAGTGACACACACACACACACACGCACAAACACACACAGAGCCAGCAGGTCTCACCCATGATTGTGACGTCATACTCGATCTGGAACAGCGCCTCCTGTCCGCACTGGGCGAGCAGACTGAGGGCATCACCGTGAGAACACGAGTGCAGAGGAACGCCGTCCACACTGAGGATGCGGTCCCCGGGGCGCAGCGTACCCTCCCTGAACACACACATTTTGATTTTGTATTCATTCAAGCATAAATTATACAGTCAAGTATTTACAACATTCCTTAGCTTTTGAAGAACTTTTGTACATTTTTATGCTACAAAGCTACTATGGAAGCCCGTTTCTGCCATGTAAAAAAAAAAAAAAAAAAAACTTCAGAAAGTCATAATTTGGAGTTTTAAACTCAAAATGATGACTTTTAAACTCGGAATTTTGAGTTTTATAGTCGTCATTTTGATTTTTAAACTGCACATGAGCAGTTTATGCCGCAACAAAAGCTCAATATATAAATAATAACATATATACTATTAATACCGATGTTATTGGCTTCCATAAGATAAATCACAAGGATTTCTTGTAAATATGTAAAAATCGTTCATGCTCTAGGTAGTGTGGGTAGTGACAAACTTCTTCCGACTTGAAATCGGATACCTGTACCAACATTCCCACCCCACGTATGTTCCCACCTTACCGTAAATTGTAACACAGTGGCACCAAGTGGATGAACTACATAACCGCAAGTAAAGCAGCTCACGGTTCAGACATAAAGACTGGGGACAAACTGTTAATTTGTTGTTATTATTTTAATGAAGTGTAGCTAAATAATATGAATATAAACGTACTGCGTTGTTAGCCACCTTAAATATTAAATTCCACATGAACTTAGAAATGTACAGTCTATGCCTCAAAGCAGCAATATCTTCAGCATAACCTGCAACTTGCAGGCAAAGGATGTCCAGAGACCATTCCAGGCAGCAATACATACACAGCAACAACTGCATAAGCACAGTTTAAAACTCTCAAAATTCCGACTTTTGGAAGTCATAATTTTGACTTTTAAACTCATAATTTTGAGTTTTGAACTCATCATTTCGAGTTATAAACTTGTAATTATGACTTTCTGTAACCTTTTTTCTTTTTTTTTACAACAGCGGAAACGGGCTTCCATAGCTTACAGTATACACCCACGCCAAGAATTTGTTTTGTATTTTTAGAATTGCAATATATATCTTTTTAAATTTATTTCTATTTATCATTTGTCAGCTTGGAATGGAGTAAAAACCTTGAAGACTCTGAACACACACATTTATGCTAAAGGAAGTGTTGGCTAATCAATGTACTCAGACAGGTAACAGGTGAGCAAGGTAGAAGCATAAATGTTTTGGGTTCTTCACAGTGGCAGTCGTGGTACATATATTACTTCCCAGACCCAAAAATATAATCCAAACTAGAGAGTCCAAATGTAAGAAAAAGGGAATTTGAAGGCTCAAAACTTGCCACCTTGTATGCAAGGAAATCAGGGTGGATTAAGTAAGTAAATAAGTAAGTAATGTTTATTTATATAGCGCATTTTACAGACCAAGGTCACCCAAAGCGCTTTACTATGTTCAAATTAAAACTTTCATTAGTGAAAAAGTTTCAGCAGCAAACGTAGAAGACTCACTTACGGTCCTGACTGCAGGACGGCAGGTAAGTAAGTAAGTAAGTAAGCTTTATTTATATACCGCCTTTCACAGACCAGAGTCACAAAGCGGTTTACAATTGTTATTTAATTGTTAGGTAGTGTGACACCATAAAAAAACACCACTTGTTCTTTGGGGTCTCACCTGTCTGCTGGGCCTCCTGGTCTAACATAAGTGACCACTAGGGGGCGAGTTTTGTGCCAGTCTTCATGTGTTCCACCTAAAGCACACAAAGTGAAATGCCATCAATGCATTTATACTTTCAAGCATATAAAACATATAGCCTATGTGCTGTCAAATGTGGGTTAGCGGCGAGCAAACCTCACCCAAATGTTGCCACATTTATGTCACATAAAGCCCTCTGCACTGTGTTTTACATGGTTTGAGCGTGAATAGACGTGAAACATGTCTAATTTATGCAGTCTGTCTTTGCCTCCCCCTCTTCCTCTTTGTGAAAAGATTTTAGAGCAAGTAAAAGAAAGTACAAAATCTAGGAGGTACTGTATATATAGTTCAATTCAACTCAATTCAATGAAATGTATTCTTGTATAGCACAAAATCACAAGAGTAGCTATCTAGGAGGACTTTACAAAACCATTGGATTCGCCAACACAGATCAGAGACTCAAACAAAAAGGAAACACATTGGTTTTGGGTCATAAGGGGCAGATGTGTGCAGATGTAGGCCATAAGTGTTGCTATATGTCCATAAATGTTTTTGAATGTTGAGTGTCTTGGATCGTCACCACTGTCCTTGTGTTAGACCCTCACAAGGGTCCAACAGACCCCCCTGCATCAGCAAGGAACAACTCTAAAACCCAGGGAGAAAGGGTGAGAAACCTCGGGAATGTCCACATTGAGAGAGGTATCCACTCCCACTGACGGACTCAGGCAACATCAAATGGTGTGCTATGTGTGTGCAAAAAAGATTTGCACTTCTTAATATTAGAGTGAAGGTGTTTATCATGCATATGCCCCAGAGAACTACACCACTACAATTGGCCGAGTTCATGTTCTAGAGTTTTATTTCAGTTGGATGGCAGATGCTTTCACATATCTTTGTGAGTGACTTTTGTTTTAAATGTTGAAAAAGACATTTTTCCCTGATCATTTTTTGATAGGGATTAGATTCACAAACCGTCATATTATTTCTCATATATCTGAAATGACAAATCTGCTTATAGCCTAACTTGGGTGAATAGAGATCACTTGTCAGCTGAAGGCAGCACGGTGAACAACAGTCTCTTTAAGGAGGCGTGTGTACTCTTCTGTCGTGAGGTATAGGCGAGGGACTCCAACACTGCATAAGGTTTTTAAAAAAATGTCCTTTAGATCACTGACAAATGACTGTACTCTTTGTGAAGCCCTGTAGTTTTATGGCCAAGGTTCCTGTCCGACATCCAAGATCACATGCTCCACATTCCCCTCCAGCCACCAGTCTGGCCACACCGCCCTCCACCACAATTTACAGCCAGATACATGTGCAGGGTCACAAGAGTCTGTCAGGAGCTCGGAGGACAGAACCAAAGCGGCCCACGAGACCCAAGAGTGCATTTCGTTCAGTGGTAAACTACATCTAGTCGCTAAGAGCCAAATGTAAGCCAAAGTTTAGGCTTTTGTCATACAGTGACATATAATAATGCATTGGTTTTATATAACGCTTTTTTCTACACTCAACAACACTTCAAATGTCATTATTCTTTCACTCCATATACGGTGGTTATAAACTAGTACTGTACCCACAGCTGCCTTGGGGGCACACAGACAGAAGCAACCAATCACACACACACACCAGACTCATTCACAACCACATTTTGGCATTTTACAGTCGCAGCCGCCCAACTGTGGCGCCTGGTGTTCACAGAGGTCTCCCATCACAGTACTAACCAAGCCCTGCCCTGCCTAGCCTCTAAGGTCAGATGTGATCTGGCTTTCACATGCAGGTATGGGTACTTACACACTTTATCGACTGCACTGTTTCAAAATTACAATCAGATTTTTTTTTCTATTTCTGCTTTGGTTCTTGGTGCAAACAATTTGTACAAGTAATATATTGCATGCATAAAAGAAAATATAAAATCTTCATAACATATCTTAAAATTACTACTATATACAAGTCTACGTTCCTCTCGTCGGCTCACCTCTGAGGACGAAGCCAAAGCTACTTTCTTCTTTGTGCAAACAGATGTCGATTGTCTTTGAGATGAGCCCTGAGCTGCTGTCCGGCGCTTCCACCCGGGACCAATGAATGAGCAAAAACAAGAGAGAGATTGCAATATTAGAACTTATCTGCAGCGAACACCGGCAATATAGTACATCCAATAAGGTGAGGTATGTGAAGCATCTGTAAGGGAAATGAAAAGGCATTCAAAGTGTTATTACTGAGTGTATGCAAATAAAACCTGTGTGTCCAAGATGAATGATGGAAATTGTTGCAGAAACAAACTTGAAAACAAATGTTGTAATGAAAATACTTTTTGAGGGACTTTTTATTGAGGGAAAATGAATGCCAAGAGTTGTGGAAATGTTCTATCTTTTTCATACATGTAGAAAGAGCCCTGTGAGTCACTATTCGATGCTTTGGGCTGAAAAGCTAATTTAAAGACAGAAAACATGAGAAAATGAGAAATGTTTTTGAGAGCTGATTGTTAGTTTGACAAATGTATATATATTTTGTTGTACTGTTTTAATATTTACATTATTTATGAAATGCAATATCATAATTATCAAATAAAAAAAAAAGCTTCTATTTTTTAGGATATAATTTTACTTTATATACATTTAATTTACTTTCTATTTTGTTTGATGTACAGAAAAATCGCAATATTGCGGTTCAAGAAGAGCTGTACTTCTGATAGGCTGGTCCTCTCTCTTTACTGAATAAGCGGATCTAAAGAGGTGACATAGGCCAAAGTGAAGAACCAAAGAACCAAACTGTTTTGAGAGCGTGTCTGGTGAATTTTAATTTGTGGTTTGAAAGTTAGGTACCCCAGCTTTAAAGCCTGTAACACAAGCATAATACTAGTACCTGTAGGGGGCAGCTCATACTCCACCTCCAGCAGCACTCTCTCTCCCACGTTCTTCAACAAACTGATGATCTCCTCGTGTCGGAGTTTGGTCAAGTTGATTCCATTCACAGACTTTATGTAATCCCCAATGTTTAGCTGGTCACTTCTGTGAAAAAAATAAAATAAAATGGGTAAAAGCAATGACAATACGAGTAAAGTTAAAGTCTCGTAAAGTTAAAGTCAGTTACTTATTCTCGCCTTCGCTGCCTCCTGGTTGGACAGAATATATTTCCACTGACAAGGCCCCTTTCCACTAACCCAACTATTCTCATCTCTGCCTAAACAGTATTTTCGCTCGTAAATACTTTATACTACTCTAACGCTAACCCTACCTTCTTTTCACACAGCACACATAAATCCACCATGTTTACGACTTTTGCCATACGTAACAAAACAAAACAATGAAACACTTGCAGAGGAACTATGTATTCTATCACCATGACCATAATGAATATGTCGACTATTATGCGTCCAAATACTTGCATTTCTAATACAAGCATCTTTTCTCCCAACTCTGCTCTTAAATACATCTGGCGGTTGTGTCTCAAAAGGATCCAGTGTATGTGGTCAAATGGGAGATCAACCATAGCATACAGAATGGCAAAAAAGTATTTAGTCACCAATTGTGAAAGTTCTCCCACTTAAAAAGATGAGGGAGTCCTGTAATTTCCATCATAGGAATAACTCAACTATGAGAGAATGAGAAAAAAAAAAAAAATATCCAGAATGTCACAATTTCTGATGTTTAAAGAATATATTTATATAATATATTATATAAATATAATAATTTGCAAATAAATTCTTTAAACATCAGAATGTGATTTTCTGGATTAAAAAAAAATCATTCTTTCTTTCATAGTGGAGGTATACCGATAATGAATATTACAGGCCTCCTTCATCTTCTTAAGTGGGAGAACTTGCACAATTGCTGATTGACTAAATACTTTTTTGCCCCACTTTAAATGGCTTTTCATGGGCCTTGTTTAGTTTAATTAAATTGGAGTAAGTAAGTAAGTAAGTAAGCTTTATTTATATACCGCCTTTCACAGACCAGAGTCACAAAGCGGTTTACAATTGTTATAGTAGGGTCAGAATAGGGATTGTCCGGTTCTCACAGTTCTTACCTGGCTGCCAGTCCGCCGGGTCTCAAGTTGGACACTCGAGGCTTGCCGTCCTTGTCCGTCCCCCCAGAGATGGTGAGTCCCAGTGTGCTGCCCTCCCTCTTTACCAGCTCCACCAGTGTCACCCCCCGCAAAGCTTCTGCCCAGAACACAGCCACACAGGGACCACAACAGGACCACACACACCATATATAAGACAATACAAAGACCAGACCATACATGAGACAGGAGAGGAGAGACACAAAGACACATGTATGAGACGGGAGAACAGAGAATATGGTCAATAAAGAATACCAACAACATGATATTTTGTCCCCGTGGCCTCAAACTCACTCAACATACATTCTGAGCCAATGTTTTACTTCTCTCTGTAAAGTGCTGTACACAGACACAAAGAGCACTCTGTGTAGGTGTAGAGGGTGGACGCACAGCCTCTGTGTCCTCTCCGGCCACTCAAAACATTACTTAATGGGACAGTATGTCATTTTTCCATTTTATATTACATAAACATCTCATATGTGTACCCCGAAAATAGATACAAATCTTTTATTTTTATTTATTTTTTTAATCAAAAATCACAAACAAAACATCTGCACATGAGATGGGAAGCAGCAGTGGGGGGCCAACAGAACTACTACACTGAGAAAAACTACTTTCGGACAAAATGTTCTGTCGTACAAGGGCTGTGTACGATGGAACAGTTTGCCGACTTCTGTAAAAGAGGCCCTTAGTTTTACGTCATCTAAAAGTCTCTTAAAGAAGTGGTAGAGGTCTTCTCAAACATGTGACCATTAATAATGTTGGGGAGCAAAAGGGTTTTTGTAAATAGGTCATGTGTAGGTTTGGTTGACTGTAATGCAAGGATGTTGTGCAATAACAGGGTGTGTGCAATAATCTGATGTGTGCAATAACATGATTTGTGCAAGAATTGATGTAGATACTGTAGATAGATACTTTATTGATCCCCGTAGGAGAAATTCAGGTGTCCAGTAGCAGCAAAAAATGAAAACTAAAATTGAACCTTCTAAATAGATAACAAGGGGCGACAGTAGCTCAGTTGGTAGAGCATTGGCCTTAAGCCCAGGAGGTCGTGGGTTCAATTCCCACCTCTGCACCTTCTCCATTGACTCCCACTGATGACTGCTGTCGTTGTGTCCTTGGGCAAGACACTTAACCCCACTTTGCCCAAAGCCCCCACTGAAAGATCAAGGCTATGCTCACAGTCAGAGAGCAGCCGTCCTCCTGTGGACTCACCACCTGCAGAGGGTCAGTGAGGGGCTGGTGCTATGAGACTTGGGTGGCATCTCTGACTGTCACCCCCCTGACCCAGAAATGGATTAAAGGGTAGAAAATGGATGGATGGATGGATGGATAGTTATAATCAGCAAGAGCCCTTCAGGTCACAGCAGCAGAGATGGAGTAGCCACTGGGTGGAGCAGGACGGGTCAAAAGGTGGAGTAGCCGCTTGTTTCGTACCATTTTCTCTGCTCTAGTCCAAAGTAAAATGCTAAATGCATCATTAACATTTTTCAAAAAGGTTGCATCTCTCCAGTGGATTTTTGGCTGATACCCTCGATTTGGACCACGAATCATCTTTGCTCTGGTCTGGACCAGTGTAAAACCATGAACACTGTACAGCACCAACCTCTCTGGACATCTTAGATTGCATGTGTGTGCAATGATGTGGACTCTAATATTGTGGATTTTGGTGGACTACTAAAGTGTGGCCTGTAGCGGAATGCAAGCTGTTGTTATGTTCTTCTTTTGTTTCTGTTGAAGTTGCTGCATTTGACCCATGTGACCCTGACCCTATGGGACTACAGATGGAAACTAACCTTTGGCTATGATCTGGCACTTTCACATTCATGTTTTAATGTGGCTGTTCATTGACATTGACTGTCCCATTCAAATAAATAAATAAGTTAATTAATTAATAAACACCTACAACCTTCCAACAAGGAAGGGGCATTTATCCATGGGCCCGGGCATTTTTGCCTCCTTGACGTTGGGCTCGCAGGAGTATTCATACAACATACTTTGTGGAAACCCCTTTGCTGCAATAACAGCAGCAAGTCTTGGGGTATCACTCTGCACATCTAAAGACACATTTTACAAAACAACTCAAGCTCTTTCAAATAAGCGTTTGTAAACGCTTATTTGGTCACTATTATCTTGATATTAAAAATGTACCTCTGGAAAGGCTTGCCACCCACACAAATTATGCTTGCCTTTGGATCCCGACCCTCCAGTTGAGATCCATAGAGTGTATTCATCTTGGTAAGTTTTCCTTAAGCTTAACCTTCTTTCACTTGCCTCTGTGAGATGGAGGTGAGTAAGGTTCTAATCCGCTTCAAAAACTCACATTTACATAAACCATGGCTCTGTCACAGAGAGAGAGACTTTTGGTGTGTTTGTCGCTTTGCTTTTGATGTGCCACAGAATCACTGAGAATAAAGTCGCTAATGTCCACCTTAAAACTACATGTTTGTCCTCCCTTAGCTATGGTCAAAAAAATTGAGAAATGGCCGAAAGGATGAAATAAGCTTAATGAGCTTCCTCCGCAGAGTGGCTGGGTGCTCCCTTAGAAATAGGGCGAGGAGCTCAGCCACATGAGAGGAGCTTGGAGTAGAGCCGCTGCTTTTACACATTGAGAGGAGCCAGTTAAGGTGGCTCGGGGAGGAATTCCCCCAGATGACTGGAGGAAATATTTGCGGAGAGGGAAGTGTTTTTTTTCTGTTAAATTGTTTTCTGTAACCATTGATAGATGGATTGACCTCATCACTGGTGCTGGAGGTGCATGTACCTGGTATGCTGTGTCTTCTGGTGGACAGTGAGTGTTCTGTGATGTCCTTCGTCTTTCCATACGGTCCATCATCTGCAAATACAATAGAAATACTTTGTTTAGGGAAAAATTCAAATTTCTCCACATTGTGATGTCACTGCTTTTATGTGGTCCCCTTGTGTTGTTTTTAAGTCCATAGATCATCCCCTTTGTTCTGCATAAATCCTCTTAAGCTGTTTTCCATTACATTGCAACAGCTATTAGGTCACATAATAAGTGAAACAATTAAATAACAAACATTTTTATTATTTCACACTGCTGAACATTTCACAGCCCAAGGAAGGACCCTTCCGGCCCGGGAATGGAACACAGGACCTTCTTAGTAAGATAGGATAAGATCAGTGATGGGCAAGCTACTTGATTTGTGTAGTGAGCTAAGCTACAAGCTACTCTACAATAAATTCAGCTTCACTACACAGAAGCTACCACCCATACAAATGTAGCAAGCTAAGTTACAAAATTCTGTCAAAAGTAGCTTGCTATATAGAAGCTATTTCAATTAAACAAACTGCAGTTCATGCAATTTTATATTTTCCTGCATTAACATGTTTTCTCATTTCTTATTTTTTGCACAATTCTTGAGTGTTTTATCCATGCCAAATGTGACATGTAAATTTCTCCTGTGTGAGATTAATAAAGCTTATCTTCTTATTTGAGATAAACTGTCAGTCAGATAAAGGTTAACATTTTGTAGATATTTATTGAACAATAGCCCAAAACACCAAAAACAACAAAGAGTAGGCATCTGAAAACATATTTCTTTTCGCTCATCTCGACTAGAGTGACGTACTTTTGGAGGTATGGCCACGGTACAACACTTTGAGAGTCCTTATCATGGTCCTCCTCCACCGCGGCGGCTCCTGGGCTCTCTGCCATGCTTTTGCTTCGCCCAGTAGCGCGCGCGCATGTGTGTGCGTGTGCGTGCGCGCGTACGTTCGTGTGTGTGTGTTGTTACCAAGCCCTGCGCATGCGCATCAGCATTCTGTCTTTCTATATGTTTGTTTTATGCTGCGGGAAAATGCTGTAATATATGAACATCAGAGATGTCCGTGAGAAAATAGCTTTGGCGGACGCTACCGCGCTACTTGAGCAATAATATAGCTAAGCTACAGAAAAGTTACTAGGTTTTGTAAATAGTGACGCTACTGTCAAGCTACTGAAAAATGTAGTTAAGCTAGTAGCGACGCTACTTGTAGCGACGCTACTGCCCATCACTGGATAAGATAAACCTTTATTTGTCTCACAGTGGATACATTTCAGTGTCATCCGAGAAAGAAGGAAATAAGAGCACTCAGATTGCACACATCAAATTGAGTCTCTTAAGATAATAGACAATATATTGTAGTTGAAATAAGATAAGCTAAGATAATAATAAGAATAAAATAAAATAAAATAAACTCCGGGGCTATAATTGCACTTGGTTCAGGAGGATTTACAGATGTGTATGTATGTACAAGTGCTACCCTAGAATTATCGTAGGCCGTTTATTTATTCACTGATTTATTTGATAGGGACAAGTGTACACAATCAACATGTGAAACACTAAAACATTTATAGCCAAGGCTAGTTTGCAATGTCCGTCCCTAGGAGGGCTTTTAACACAATTAAAACACATTTTACGTTATAATGTTCACATTAGACAAAAGCAGGTGTCATCCAACTCATTGATGCCCACACAACTGATTTGTTTTAAGAAATCGCTTGAGTTTGTGTTCAAAACCAGCCCAGTCAGAGTTCAGTTGTAGCTAAGGGCTTAAAGAGTTCCAGAGCTTTGCCCCCTGGACCGAGAAGACCGATTGTCCGAACGTGGTTCTCCTGAGGGGCCCTTTTACATTCCCGCAGGGGAGCCCCATGTGATGGATCTCAGAGGAACTATGAGAGCACTCAGGACAGCAGGGGCTCGAGTGTGCAAACATTTATACAATTATTTACAATTACTAAATTTAATAAAATTATCAAAACTAAGAAAATGTAGTCTCTGCAACACCTGGCAATAATGGTGTGTTCTTATTGACTTTTTGTCCAGTATTTTTATGGCTCTGTTGTAGAGCATTCTTACTGGTTCTTACCAGCAGGTGATACATTAACTTATCTGAGAAGTTACTGTTGAAAGATTAAATCCTCTTTGTTGTTCTTTTCGCATCCAAAACAGACCTGGAGTTGTTTATAGCTCTACATACGCTACGACATCAGAAACCCCATGACCGGGGGGTCAAGTTTGAGCATAAATCAGCACAAACTTGACCCCCAGCTCATTCTGTCTGAATGCAGTCTTAAAAGCAATCTTTGTCTTTGAGGACTTTTTGTAGATAGAGTTGCCATATCTTTTAATTCTTCAAGTTTATCCATTTGTACTTGAAAGTTTCATTGCTAGTGTATTTGTGAAACTATTGTCAAATAAACATGTTTTCTTATTTTAAAATCCTCTTTTGACCCTGATCAGGAGTCTACTCCTGTCACGAGGTGAAGTGAATGAAAAAACTAGGAATGCCAAAAAAATAAGGATTTAATGTGAATAAAATAAAAGCCCAGGTGAAAAAAAAAAATCTAAATCCAAAAGACACAATAAACACAACACCAGGAACAGGACGGAACAGACATTGACAATACAATGGACCAGCAACAAGGGGAGCGGAGCCCAGGGAAAGTCAAACTAAAACAAAACTACAGAACTAAAATCAAAATAAAAACATTTACAAAAATAAAATCCACACTATGACAACTCTCCCTCGTTCTCAATTATGTGTGTGTTTCTCCTTTAACATCCACTACAGCTTGGAGTCTTTGTGGCAGTTTTGTGGATGAGGTTCTTTATCCTCTTTGATGGTAAAGCTGCACATTCTTCTTGACAAAAAGCCTCCAGTTCCTGTGAATTCCTGGGTTGCCTTGCATGGACTGCACACTGGTTTCACACAACCACTGACATCCATTGTGTATTATTAGTCATAATCTTAATATGCTAAAGTTAAATATTTTATACTTACTTTTTTAGTCAGTGATATTATTCTTAATTCTTTATAATGCTTGAGTCAGATATATTATTTTATTTTAGTATAGAGTTACTGTTCACTTTTATTTTGCTGTGTGCTCCTTTTTTCTACAGATCTGTAACTGGTGATGCAACAGTAACATTTCCCCACTCTGGGACAAATAAAGGATCTGTTAGAATGACATTTTGGCCTTCCCATCTCACACTTTTAGAAATGTGCATTGAAAAGCCAACCTGAATATCCTCAATTTTGTGTTGAAGGGCCAAAATAAACAACAATACAGCATCATATTGCTTCTTTCACAGCAGTCCAAACACTTCACATCAGATCCGGTTGTGGCTGTTCTCCTCCCCTGTGTTTCCAAAGCAGAGCTGTGCGTACGTTCAGAACTGCAGCTGTTTCTCTGGGCTCATATTAAGCCCGTGTGAGTCATCCACAGGCCTGATGAGAGGAGACTGAACTGGGACAAGAGCACGCAGAGTACTCCCACTCACTGCTCTGTTATCCAGGATTAGAGAGGTCTTCTACTCCGCTTTTGCTGGAAAAATGCAACTGGAGACGCTTTATTACAACCACGTGTTTAATCTGCAGGCGTAAATGTTGCCTGAATGGACCACTTAAACATACAGAAGGGCCAGTCGCTGATGTCACATTCTCTAAACGACTGCACTAATCCTAAAGTGGGAAAGAGCGAGTTCCACTGCTCACATTTTGATTAGAAATTGTAGGTATAAAATATGCACATGGCGGTATGTATATATTCATAGATTAAGATTAAGAGATTCTTTCTTCGTTCCACAATGGGGACTTTTCAGTGTTGCATCACCAGTCAGAACAGAACAGTAGGGATGAGGAGCACACAGCAAAAGCTAGACAACAATACTAAAATATAATACAAACGCTGACTCTAGCATAATAAAAAAGTATGTATAACATCTATAAGTATAAAAATGTATAACTTTGGGATAATATAGAAGTAAGTATAAAATCTATAACTTTAGCATAATAAACAAGAAAGTACAACATACTGTAATATTTGATATAGAGCCTCAAGTTCTGTTGAAATTCTAAAATGCCATAAATGCCCTAAAAAACAGGGCAGTTTTTTATGAACTATAACCAAAACTTTTCTTTCAACCATTTGAAGAATTCAATTTCACATTGAGTTTAATTCATCACCTCACTAAACTACACTGAAAACAAAAAATAACTAATTGTGAAAAAAAACCATATAAATATAATTGTATCTCCAATTTCTGTATTTTTAAATAAATGTAATGTTTTATATACCAAGCAACATTTGCCCAATGAGTTTGTTTTACTATTTTGGCAAGTAAAAAGTTATTTCTTTATTTTAAAACACACAATCATGGGCTTCCTGTTTAATGTCATATTTTGAGGACCGATGGCAACGTTCTTCAAATACAAAATACATCAAGACAAACTCTGTCTTTGCTATTTTCAGCTCCTCCTAAATTAGAACGCTTTTCATTTGGGAATTCTTGTCCAAGTTTGTAGGATCTAAAAATATCCTCCACCCTGAAAGTCAAAGATTCAGAAACATTATATCGTTTTTTTACTTCTCGCTTTAGTCACAAGTTATGCCAACTCATCAAAAACACTTCAGCTTCATACGTGTAGAATTTTAAAGATGTTTGATAAAAGAACATTTATTTGTCACGCAGTGAGGACATGCATTACATTAAAACACAAGAAAAGGATGAACAGCCCGGTGCTTGAGTGGTTTGCAGACTCGCTACTCAGCAAGAAGGTCCTGGGTTTGAATCCCAGTGGTAAACAAGAGGAGATAACACTAAACCATCATTTTATTTATAAGAGAGTCTCACAGACCAAAGTCACAAAGCGCTTTACAATTGTTGTGTGCATTTGTCTCTCACTCCACACAGAGATGGGAGTGGGAACAGGAGGTGCAACCAGACCTATTGTTCTTATTTTTTAGACAATACTTATATATGTTGAATATGTTAAAGCTGTATATCTCAAATGGATGGTCTCATCTTGCTACCAGCCACAAACATTATATAGAATTTTGACAATTTAAAAAGAAGTCACCCTTTTTGAGCTTCAACATTGCTAAATCTTGTTTTTACTTCATACATGATAATATCACATTATCTGAACAAACTCCTTCACCTGGACTCGCAAAACACTCTGTGTAGAATCTCTCCACAAATTAAGCTTAGGCAGAAATTCAGACTGGAAGACATGAAGAACTAAGCTCAAAGTGTCCCAAGTCCTCCTGCTGCTTCACGGCAACAGCATCAATCAATCCCACTCAGCTGCAGCCCCACATGCCAATCCTCAGCAATCAGGCACTGCCCGCATGAGCTTCGTATCATGAGGAAGCTCCATCCAAGCAAGCAGCTTAATTCACGCCTCAACCCTCCTCCTCCCCATCTCCGCCTAGTTCAGGGCCAGCTCTTTCATCTTTCTCCTAGCTACCACCACCAGGGTCTAGGCCTCGTGGGATTTCATCTCATAATCTCCTTCCCATTTTGCAATCGTGCAGTGCTCTGCCGGGGTCTAAGCGCCAAATCTCAGCCAAATTTGTGTACAGCAGCAACAAATCTCATCTTGAAAATATTGTCCTCAGAGTTGTATGTGGTCAGATAACTTGACAACCAATATACAATTTGAATAATACCCACGTTTTTTTCCAAATCTCTTCAGATTGAATGTCCCATATTTCACGTTGAGATTTGCAGATCTTTTTTAAAACAATATTTCTGTTATATTTATACGCCTGTGTGTTGCTCAAATCCATGGTGACAGCAGCCTTGACAGACTGATGCTATTGTTTAGGCTTTGAGGAAGTGTCCTAGTTTATCTACGGAAGCTGAGATAGGACACGTTTAAACATTCATAACTCAAAAGTGGCACATTGCACCTGTTGCATGGACGCCTTGGAAAAAGTGAAAAGACAATTTATCGTATGAAAAAAGTGAAATAAATACTGCATCTGCTGGTCCACAGAGGCACATGATGTTCCTGGAGGTCTCCCATCACAGTACTAACCAGGCTCTGTCCTGCTTAGTCTCAGAAGTGTGACAGAATCAGGCTTTCATAGGCAGGTGGCAATACCACTACAATACCACTAATACTATCACAGTAGTAGTATTGACATGGATGTTACTTTGAGTAGTAGTAGTAGTAGTCGTAGTAGTAATATGGATATGACAGTAGTACAAGACAATTTAGTAGTAGAAGTAAAACGGTCATAGAAGCATAAGTGATAGTGGTAGTAGTTGTTTTAGTGATAGTAATGTAGTAAATGTAGTAGTAGTGATAGTAGTAATGGTTTCAGTATTTAGTTTTGAAATGCCTCCAGCCTCAAATACTGCATACTCCAGACTCCGAATACTGAAAAGGATAACTGGTATTCACACCAGTGCTCACGTTACATCTGAAGAGCTGAGACTAAAATGCAAATGCTCTAAAATCCTGAATATTATTGCAAAAAGAAGATGGTCAATGGAAGACTCAAGGACACAAAAAAACATTGTTGACTGGAAACCAAACGGGAAAAAACAAAAAAGGCGGACAAAGGAAACAATGGATAAAACAAACTGAAGAAGACGCAAAACCACAAAAAATGTCATTATTCGACCTGGTAGATCTGACGAAGCACTGTAGGTACATCCCTACATCCCTAAGCACATTCAAAGGAGCTCAGTGAGTTTTTTTCAGCAGGTGAGGCCACTTAAAAGAGGCCAAGTCCTGCAGTACCCGGGCCTCTCCCCGGGTCGCTCCCCTCCTTCTAGGCCACATCCCCAGGAGCTCGCACCTGTAAGTCCACCTGTTCAGGGAAGTGAGGCGGGATTCTCTGGCAATAAGACCAGGCCAAAGTAAATCGTGAGTCATAGCTTTCTTTTTCACTCGATAACTCCGGGCTAGAATATACAGTATAAAAAAAATTAAAAAGTAGTGGTAGTTAAACTGACAAGTGAAAAATGGATTACATAGTAGTAGTAGTAGAGGTATTAGTATCCGTAATGGTGGTAGTAAAAAGAGAACACACTCAAACATACTCAACTGAGCGACAGAAGCCACATAAGATTGAAGTAAATTCAAAATAACCTTGTGCGTATCAAGTATTTTCAAAACACAGCCAAGGTAAAAGAGGGTTAAAAGTTGGCAGTTACAGAGGTGCAAAGTGAAGTAAATTTCCCCAATAAAATACCTTAATAATACACAATTCACAAGCACACCCCCTCCGACGGTACACATGTATTTAAGTGTATTTTT